TCTTCGTGCGATAAGCAAGGCATGGATTTTCTTCTGGGGGCAGCCTGGCCTCATCCTCCAGGTGAGATAAAGCCTATTCCAGGAGGTGCTCCTGCCAACATTGTCCAGGACCAGCCGTGGGCCTGAGGCTTGGGATCCTGAACATACCTGAGTACTGTATGGTGACACTTCGTGGCCATGGGCAGTGAAAAGCAAAAGCAAGCAAGACACTGCATAATTGGAATGATTCCATTTAAATCACATACCTGTTAACTTACCTTTAAAAATCCCAGATTGCTCTTACTCTCAATGTAGCAATCTCTTCCTCCAGAGCACACAATCCTAAAACTTCAGAGCTAGAAGCAATCTTGGAGATCAGATTTTTACAGATAAGGACCCTGGCCCATGTGCTCAGTGGTTAGAGCGTCGGTCCATGCACCAAAGGGTTGAAGGTTTGACTCTGGTAAAGGCCACCTACCTGAGTTGCAGGTTCAACTCCCAGCCCCAGTCAGGCATGCAGAAGGCAACTGATCGATGCATCTCTCTCACATCAATGTTTCTCTCTCTCTCCCCCCCTCTCTTCCTCCCTTCTTCTCTCTCTAAACATCAGTGTAAAAAAACATCCTCAGGTGAAGATTAACCAAAAAGAAACAAATGTGTTTACAGATAGGGAAATTGAGGTCCCAGGAAGGAAAATGATTGGCCACAACATCATGGCCACTTAGCCGGGGACTGAGCTTGAGTCAGTTGTCTGTGTTCCCAGCCCCTGCTCTCCTCGGGCCACAGTAACCTGCCCCACAGACACTCGTTCCCTCGCTTTTCTCTCTGACCTGAGCCCATCCACCTCATCCAGAGTGACTCATTTTGGTCAAATGACTCACCAACTGAGATAAGAGCCCGCTAAAGAAAAGAAATCCCATCTTGTGTGTGCCCTCATTTAAATCCTGGTTTCACAACAAAATAAATAGAAATGAATGGAAAATAACAAAGAAACAAGACACGAGCTCTTTATGAACCATAATATGTCATTTATAGTGTCATGTCCTGTCTTCAGATTCGATATCTTTCTTATGAATTTTTTCTTTACCTGATATCCTTCATCCGTGCCTTATCACTACTACCAGATTGCCGACGATGAAGAGGAAGGACCAGGCTTCATATATCCGTGTCCCAGTTCCCCTTCTCTCCTCTCAAACATTCTGTAAAATGAAGTGCACGTGGCAGGGACTTAGTAGTAGGAGCAGTAATAGTCAGATCAGGGTCCAAAAACTGTTCAGTCCACATGTATGACCCATTTAATCTTCACAATAATGTTAGGACATAAGCCTCATTTATATAACACGGGGTAGGGAAGTGACTTAGGTAGAGTCATAAAGCTAGGAAGTGATAGAGTCAGGTTTGAAATCAAGGCAGACTTACTGAAAAATATACATTTTAACCACTTTGTGAATGACTCTACTAGCCAACTAATTTACTTAGCAAACACGTATTAAATACTATTTGTCAAACACTGCTATAAATGAGAAATATAGGGTTCACCAAATAATGGGTAAACATATATGGAAGCAAAGAACTAAAATTGAATAGAATTCATGCTATTAAAAAATCTGAAGAAAACACCCTAAGAACACAGAAGTCTTAACTCAATCTGAGGCTAGAGAAGGTAATCAGGGAAGGCATTAGGGAGGAAAAATTGGAACTAAGTCTAAAAGGGTTTAAGTTTTGGTCTTCTAAAAAAGTTGACTTTCAATAGGGTCAATGTGTAGAATTTCTTTATATGCTCAAAATGCCAAATATACAGTAATCACTCAAGATATTTTTTTTCTTCTTGTTATAAGAGTACCATGTAAGTTTTCAATTTAATAAAACATCCCACTTACTCATGGACAATGGTCCTTAAAATATCTTGGCTGCTGCCTTGGTCGGCTCAGGCAGCCATGACAAACTGTCATAGACTGAAATGAATGGCTTAAACGACAGAAATTTATTTTCCCACACTTCTAGAGTAGAAGTTCAAGATCAAGATGACAGCAAGGTCGATTTCTAGTGAGGGGTCTCTTCCTGGCTTGCAGATGGCCATTTTCTTGCTTTCTCCTCACATGGCAGGTAGAGAAACTGAGCGAACTTGAACTCTGGTGTCTCTTCTTATAAGAGCATGAATTTCATCACTAGGGCCTCACTTTCATGACTTCATCTGAACCCAATTACCTCCCTAAGGCCCTATCTCCAAATACCATCACACTGGGGGTTAGGGCTTCAACATATTAATTTGAGGTGTGTGGGGAATGGGTGTGGGTGTAGGGGGTGGGGGGAGGCAGCAATATTTGATCCATAGCAGTTGCCTGAGCAATGGAAACTAAGAGTCAGCTGTGCTCTGAAATTTGTCATCCTGACTCTAATAATACTCCAGGACCTGACTACCTCCAGAATAAAATAGCTGACAGATGGCCCAACCAGTGTGGCTCAGTGGATTGAGCATTGTCCCATGCATCAGGAGGTCACCTGTTTGATTCCTGATCAGGGTGCATGCCTGGGTTTACAGGTTCGATCCCCAGTAGGGGGCGTGCAGGAGGCAGCCAATAGATGTTTCTCTCTCATTGACATTTCTCTCTCCCTTTCCTTTCCTCTCTATCTAAAAATCAATAAAAACATATTTTTGAGAAATAGCTAACAGATGAACATTCAATGAAGATTTATTTTTTGTTTGGATCCATGTTTTCCCATCCTTTTGCCAGTTGGTAATTAAACCTTTGATGGGGATTCATCATTTCAACGCTGAAGTTATTCAAGTTGTTCAACAAATGTTTGTTGAGCTCCTACTAAAGCTTACACACTAGAGATACCATAATAAACAAGAAAAAGTTCTGCCTATAAGGCATTTAGAGTTTAGCAGCAGGTCTAGAAAAATAATCAATTATAAGAGGTGATGGGAGTGGGAGGCAGAATGGCAAGGCACCAGATTTGAAGAATATGAGGACATTCTGGAATGTTATGCCATGCTAATATTTGAAGGATGGATTGAAATATTTGAGGAGAAAAAAGAAGTGTAGAGAAAATACTATGTTCCTTTTTCATGGGGTCCAACAACATAACCATAGAATTATAGAAGCATTTGATCTATCACATTTGCCTAGGTTATGAATATCCAACTAGCAAGTTGCCTAATTCTCCTCCATACATGACTAGTTCTTTCAATGTATATAGTATATTTACATAAAAAAATTCAAAGCACATTAGCAAATTCATCCTGTGGGTTGCCAAATATATGCTACCTGATTAACTAAAACAACAGTGCTAAATTTTAGATATATTATATAGGAAATGTGATTCTTTATGGTTTAGCTTATATAAAAAATATATCTTGGGTTATAATGCTACTAAATATCTTTTTTGTCCTGTTGCCCTGAAGGTCCTTGGTAACAAATAAGATATTATAGATGCACCATAACATTTCTAATGCAATAGCATTTTCTGGTATATGTTTCTGAACAAATCACATTTAAATCATTAAATCAAATCATTTACTTAAAATAATCTTTAGAGCTAGTTTCTTTCTTTTGTGATATATGAGAGTTGGGTCATATAATCTCTAGCTTCCCAACTTGAAATTATTTTGTATTTTTATGACAACTTCCATAAAGACATTATAGTATTAATCACACATCTTAAAAATACTCTATTTTTGTAAACTATTATACATGGCTTAAATTACTTTTAAAAATAGACAATTGGATTACAACTATGCAGTAGTTCAGGTAATCCTGGTAATGCTAGCTGTTACAACAAAGAAGCCCCCAAGTGTATAATGACTCCAACACAATGGAAATGTATTTCAGTCATTTAAAATCTAAAAATTTGTTTTTATAGTTCAATGGCTAAAAGTCAGTGATTTGACTATACCTAACTGCGAGGGAATTTAGAAAATGTGGTTTATCTAAGAAAGAGACATAAAGTATACCCTTCCATATTGTATAAATCTTCTACCATGTGCCTGCATGATTTTAACAATTAAAAAGCAGTATCTATGCTATGATAGTAACTACATAAAATTATATGTGCTAGAAAAGAATATGGGAAATGAAAACAGTTGATTTGTTATAATGGTATAGATTGTGTGCAATTTTCCATTTCCTTTTATTTCTTTCGTTATTATAATGTTAGCATCATTTTGAAATGTGAAAACAAAAGAACAGCTGCCCTAAATGCTTTGGGGAAGTAAATCAAGTATAAATAATACATTAATGAATGAATGAGCAGGAAAGTACTGAATCAAGAAAAGGGCTCATCAAATATTTATGAGAATTCACATTTGTATGTGTAAAAACAATCATTACAAAAAGCCTTGACAAGAAGAAACAGATCCCAAACAAGGCTACCCTCTTAGCAAGTCCCAGACTTCACCCCGGAAGAAACAGACTGTGATTTGCTGTTAGAAGAGAGATAAAGATAAGGATATTGGTTGGATGAGAGACAGACTCTTTTTTTCCATCTGTATTGAGACATAATTGACATGGTTAATTAACACTGTTTAAGTTGTACAACCTGTTGATTTGATACAGTAGTATTGACAAGAATCACCATTATGTACATTAGATTCTTAGAATTTATTTACCTGACAACTGAAAGTTTGTAGCCTTTCACCAACATCTCCTAGAGATGTCTGCACTCCCATGTTCATTGCGGCATTATTCACAATAGCCAAGATATGGAATCAACCTAAGTGTCTATCAACAGATGAATGGATAAGACGTGGTATATTATACACAACGGAAAATTATTCAACCATGAAGAAGAAGGAAATCCTGCCATTTGTGACGATAAGGACCGACTTTGAGGGCATTGTGTTAAGTGCAACAAGTCAGACAGAGAAAGACGTGTACTGTAGTATATATTTAACGCATAGAAATATAGTAGAATGGTGGGTCCCAAGGGCTAGGGCAGGGGAAATGGGGAGACACAGACTCTTTAAACTGTGATCACCTGGATCCCTGAAAAAATAAACTGTTCCATTTCCTTTTCAGGAGATGATAAGGTGCTCCGGCTGTGGCACCCCAATATCAACACCAAGCCAGTGGGGAAGCTCGTAGGGCACATGTTCAGTATCACTGAGATCGTCACAAATGAGAAAGACCAACTCGTCATCAGCCTTTCCTCTGCCAAGGTAACAAAAGGAAACAACAAGAAAAAAGCTAATTTTCCCCTTAAAATCAACTATTGGAAAATCTAGAATACAGACAGTTTTTTACTGAAATAGCCGATAGTCCCTGAGAAAAATATCATCGATGTAGAGAGGAAAATGATGAGCCACTTTTCTGTTTCTCTGATTACAGCATGAGGAAGGACATGTTTCGAGAGTAGAAAGAATACAGTTCTGGGGAGAGAGCTCATATTAACCTCAATAGTCAGACACAAGAGGCCCTCCCATTACAGACAAAACATCTTCATTAAATGCAGGACAAAGAAGGATTTCTATTATTGTTGCTGTTATCAAACAGTGTTTTAAATGTTCTATCTAATATGATAAAAAAAAAAGAGTTATAAATATTATAAAAGAGGAGACATTTATTATAGTTCCAAAAAATGGGATTGCTTGAAAATTTTAATAAAATCAGCTTAATATTTTATGATAAGTTTAATAAGGTAGCTGGTTATAATAGCAATTTATTAAAGTAAATTGCTATGTAAGAGCAGTAACCAGCTCAGAAAAAAAAGGTCAAATGGATAGCATTCACAAGGTCAAAAAATTATGAAATACCTAAAAATAACCATAACAAGCAATATTCACTATTAGTATAAGGTAACTATGAAGTTTTACTGGTGTACTTTTATTTAAGAACAGAATAGAGGGACATTCTATGTTTCTGCATGGGAATATTGTACTGTAAGATACTGTCCAACAAATTAAGTTACATATTTAGTGCTATTCAGGATTATTTAAATATCAGTTTTCCGAGTTTAAAGTTAATGTAAAAATAGTGATATATAAGAATGTCCTATAAATTTTGGAAAATATTATAAGATGACACTTTCCTTGTCAGATGCTCATTAAAACATATTATAAAACCACAATAAATAAAACAAAGTAGTAGTCAATGCAGGAATTGTTAGACACGTCTATGAAACAAATAGAAAATGCAAGAATTAGTTCATGTGTGTATGGGAATTTTGTATGGTAAAAGTAGCATTTCAAATTTGTGAGCAAATGGTGGTTTTGTTCATTAAGTGTTGGGAAAACTGATTAACTATATAAGGAAAAATATGTAATCAGATCATCACTTCATAATAAATATAAAAATATATTCCATATGGATTAAAGATTTTAAATGCAAACTACAAACCATAGAAGTCCTATAATTTTCCAGAAGAAAGCACAGGTGAATATTCATATAGCCTTAGGGTGATTTCTTTTTTTTTTTTAATATATTTTTATTCATTTCTTAGAGAAGGGAGAGAGATAGAAACATCCATGTGAGAGAGAAACATCAATCGCTCTCTCCTGTAAGCCCCCTACTGGGGGTCGAGTCTACAACCCCCAGTTCATGTGCCCTGACTGGGAATCAAACCAGGACTTCTCAGTCCATAGGGCGACACTCAATTTACTGAGCCACACCAGCTGGGATCCTTTTCTTAAAAATTTTTAATTAGAGTTGACATATATTATATTAGTTTCAGGTGTACACCCCAGTAATTAGCCATTATATAACTTGCTAAGTGATCATCCCAATAAATCTCATACCTATCTGACACCATACATAGTTATTAAAATATTATTGACTATATACCCTGTGCTGAACTTTACATCCTCATGACTGTCCTGTAACAACCAATTTGTAATACCTTCACCTTTTTCACTCATACCCATAGTATCCCTCCCATCTGGCAACCGTCAAAATGTTCTCTGTATCTGTGAGTCTGTTTTGTTCTACTTCAATTATTTTGTTTCTTAGATTCATTTGTTGATAGATACGTATTTATTGCCATTTTATTGTTTATATTTTTAATCTTTTTTTTTTCTATTTCTTCTTAAAGAAGGCCCTTAACATTTCATGTAATACTGGTTTGGTGGTGATGAACTCCTTTAGCTTTTCCTTGTCTGAGCAGCTATTTCTTTGTCCTTCAATTCTACATGATAGCTTTGCTGAGTAGAGTAGTGTTGCTTGTAGATCCTTGCTTTTTATCATTTTGAATATTTCTTGCCAATCCCTCCTGGTCTACAAAGTTTCTGTTGAGAAGTCATCTGATAGTCTTATGGGAGCGCCCTTGTTGGTAACTAACTGCTTTTCTCTTGCTGCTTTTAATACTTTTCATTTCAGTAAGTGTATCCTTCATTTCTGACTGGTTCTTTTATATGGTTCCCATGTCCTTTTTTATGGTTTCCATGTTTGTTTGTTTTTTTAATGCTATTGAAGTTCTCTCTAAGTTCAACTACTCTTCCCCTAATTTCACTGATCATCCTTGTAACCAATGTTTTGAACTTTACATTTAATATATTGCTTCTCTCTGTTTTGTTTAGTTTTTTTTCTGGAGTTTTGTTCTGTTCGATCATATGGGACATGTTTCTTTGTCTCCTTATTTTGTCAGCCTCCCCGTGTTTGTTTCTATGTATTAGAACTAGGTGGAGCTGCTATGTTTCTCCAGATTGGTAGAGTGGTCTAATGTAGTAGGTGTCCTATAGGGTCAGTGGCACAGCCTCCCCAGTCATCCAAGCGAGGTACTCTAGTTGCACACTCTCACCACCATGTGGGCTGTGTGCACCCTCTTATTGTAGTTAAGCCTTGATTGCTATTGGCGCATCAATGGGAGAGATTTACCCCTAGTCCTAACTGCTGCAAGAGCTGGATGCAACCACCAACCCACTGTGGAGGATCACCTGTGCAGGGTCCCACCCCATAGAACAGGACTTACTTCAGCAGGGCTCTGGGGCCCACTGAGTCTGCCCCTTGAGTGTGTTGTTGTAGAGGTGGCTGAGTGGTGTTGTCCACAAGGTGTGCTGGCTCTGGGGCCTCCTGGAAGGTGCAGGCCATGGTCAGTTGTGCCTGTGTTCTGTCCAGGGCCACTCAGCTTGAGCTACAAACTGATCTGCAGATGCTGGTCTTGGAGGTGCCCAGGAGAGGTCAAGCTGTGAACCACAGCTGGCTGCTACTAGTGCTGGGCCTGGGGCCACTTAGTGAGAGGTACAGGGCATGCTGAGGTCAGATGTTGCTTGTTTGAGAGATTTTAGGAAACTCTGAAGCATGAGTCTTGACAGGCCATTTGTGTGGAAAAGGCACTGGAACCAGCTTGAGTGGTAATTAAAAAGTTAAATTTTGCCCTGACTGGTTTGGCTCAGCGGTTAGAGCATCAGCCTGCGGTCCTGAGAGACCCGGGTTCGGTTCCCGCTAAGGGCACGTACCTCGGTTGCAGTTTGTCCCCAGCCCTGGTTGGGTCATGCGGGTGCCAACCACTCGATGTGTCCCTTTCACGTCAATGCTTCTCTCTCTCTCTCCCCCTCCCACTCTATCTGAACAAAACATGGAAAAATGTCCTCGGGTGAGGATAAAAAAAAAAAGTTAAATTTTAAAAGACATGCTGGGTGTCTTTGTTTCATTTTCTATTTGCCAGTTAATACATAGGAAATATGTGAGCAAGATAACAAAATCGACAGTTTTAGTTTCACATTGCTACAAAAATCTTTCTTCTTTTTAAGTTACTTGCAAGAACATAACAAATACATTTTGCATTGAATTGCCTACACACATAATGTTAACTGACCACCATTTGTACTGCACAGTTATAAGACCCTGGTTTTCAAGTATACCATTTGTCTTTAGTACTATAACTTTCAAAAGAGGTTTACAATAGATATCTTTAAGTTCTTTCTTTTTTTTGTTTGTTTGTTTGTTTTTTTATCCTCACCCGAGGACATTTTTCCATTTTTTGTTCAGATAGAGTGGGAGGGAGAGAGAGGAAGAGAGAGAGAGAGAGAAACATCGATGTGAAGGGACACATCGAGTGGCTGCCACCCTCACGACCAACCAGGGCCGGGGACAAACTGCAACTGAGGTACGTGCCCTTAGCGGGAACCGAACCCGGGTCTCTCAGGACCGCAGGCCGACGCTCCAACCGCTGAGCCAAACCGGCCAGGGCTCTTTAAGTTCTTTCAATGTAAAATTATGTCACCCTAATTTGATTCATCTGGAGACAAAATTCTTATTTACCTTTTGCAGCCATTTGGTAAAATGAGCAAGACAGGCAAAATCCCAGTGAATTTCCCATGTCTCTTCTTCTATCTAAATGTTACTGCATTCCAGAGATTTCTGCCAATGCAATTTTTGTCATAACACGATGATAAACTTTCATTTGAATATTTCTTAAAATGCCTTATAATTTTTTGTTTTGCATCTACTTTCCTACTTACACTAAGATCTATTCAAGAACAGTAATAGTGCTTCTATTGATCTTGGCTTCTCTAGCACTCAGCCCAGAGTTCCATAATGATTTGGTCTATAACCACTTTTGCGTGTCATGTTAGGTTTGCATTATTTTATGTATCTGAGACCAACTCGTAAACATCAGATATTCTGCTCTGGTCACTCTATAATAAACACCCATTAAGAATAAAAAATAGGACACTTTATTTTTTAAAATTTATCTTTATTGTTGAAAGTATTACAGATGTCCCTCTTTTTTTCCCCCATTGACACCTTCCTCCTCACTCCCGCCACCCCCACCCCCACCCCCACCCCACTTTCACCACACAGCATTGTCCTATGCACCCAAAGGTCACTGGTTCAGTTCCTGGCCGGGGCACATGCCCAGGTTGCAGGTTCAGTACCCATCAGGGTGAACATGGGAGGCAACTGATCGATGTTTCTTTCTCACATCTGTGTTTCTCCCTCTTTTCTGCTTCTCCCTTCCTCTCACTCTAAAAGAAAAAAAAAAAAAAAACACCAAAAAAACAATAAATACATATTTACAAATAAATAGATAAAAATAAAAAAGACATTTTAATAATGCATTTGGAAAATAGTGATTGACCTCAAGTTTGCACGAATTAAAAGCTAGGGAACATGACTGAGTCAAAACCGCCCTCGCTCCTGGCAAACACAGGCAGCGTTGTTCAGATTTTTCTACTTCATCATTATGTATTAATCATGCATCACAAAAGGTTTCGTTTTCATTTTATACTGAAAGCTTGATCAGCCTCATGGTTGGAATTTCCCAATGTGAAGAAAAAGACTTCCACCTAATTCCATTTCCAGTTTGTTTGAAAATCAGAATCATCGTTGGCTTCACTGCTACTAGCAGCTGAATCTTTTTTGTAATTTCATCTTTATTTACATGTCTGTAATATTTACTTTCTAATTTATACACATTCAATTCTGCAATCCCAGGGCTTCTCTAGTGGAAACCACCAATCCGCTCAGATTTTCTCTCTAGGTCAACTCAGTCTCTTTCTGAAATGTTTTCCCTTCCTAAACCCCTTCAGGGCAGACCTGACTCCAGCTCTCCTCTCCAGCTGGGAAACACTCACACCAACCACAGGAACAGGCAACCTCTGGGGGGAATGAGTACGAGGACTACAATCAGTCGAGTCTAATTAGTATCACTACTCTTTTCCTCCAAAGTCACTAACATATTATGACCACCTAAGAAAATAGTAAATGAATTGTATGTTTTGTGCAGCCATCTCATTTATTCATTGATTTATTTAATTAAAAAATAATAATAATTGAACCAACAGTCAAATTAGAGTTTAGCAAATATGTGCTCATCATATGTCATACTAGGAGCGTATTACAGACTCTGAAAATGCATCGCATAAAAACAGCTTTGAGTGGGGAACGTCAAGTGTCAAAGTGGCGAACTATGTTCTTTATGCCCCCAGGTCTTCAGGGTGTGGGATATACAGACCCTGTCACTATTGCAAGTCTTCCATGACAGCCAGGGAGGACCCGGAGACATGCAAATTTATTCCATGATATATGACTCCAACCACGGCATGCTTATTGCAGGTACATGCCCCCAATTAATGGCAATCAAAACTCGTATCCTGACTTTTAATCTTTTTTTAACTAGCACTTGAGCACAAACTAGAAGGAAAACTGGGAGTGGAATTTATTTTATTTTATTTTATTTTTCTCCAGGGCTCCAAATATATTGTTTTATTCTCTAACACTGCTTATTTTCTTTCTTTCTTTTATAAATTTATTTATTTATTTTTTTGTTACAGATATTTCTCCTTTTTTGCCCCATTGGCACCCCCCTCCCCACCCCACCCCCGCCCCGTCCCCGGCTTAGTTGTCCATGTCCATTGGTCATGCATACATGCATATAAGTTCTGTGGTTTATCTCTTCCCACCCCCCCACCCCCCATCCCCTCTTCTGAGGGATGTCAGTCTGTGCCCTACTTCCATGTTTCTGGGTCTACCATATTCCTCAGACTGTTATGTTCATTATATTCTGTATATAAGTGAGATCATGTGGTATTTGTCTTTTTCTGCTTGGCTTCTTTCACTTAGGATAATACTTTCCAGGTCCCTCCATGTCGTCTCAAAGGATAAGAGATCTTTCTTTCTTACAGCTGCATAGTACTCCATTGTGTACATGTACCACAGCTTTTTTATCCACTCGTCTACTGATGGACACTTGGGCTGTTTCCAGATCTTAGCTATTGTAAATAGTGCTGCTATGAACATGGGGGTACATATATTCTTCCTGATTGGTGTTTCAGGCTTCTTAGGGTATATTCCTAGAAGCGGGATCACTGGGTCAAATGGAAGTTCAATTTTTAATTTTTTGAGGAAACACCATATTGTTTTCCATAGCGGCTGCATTCCCACCAGCAGTGTACTAGAGTCCCCTTGTCTCCACACCCTCGCCAGCACTTGTTGTTAGAGGGAGTGGAATTTATTAACCTTGATTCATCACAGTAGAGATTTAATTCAGCTCCATTCTTTCCTATAGTCCCTGCTGGGCGGATAAGATGTGTAACTACCCTTCTCTGACATGAAAATACCACATCAGGGCTCTAAGTTCTCGAACCTAGAAAGGTGTGACACGGGCTAAGCAGAAACGTGGGGTGTAACCTGTTGCTAAGACCAGGTCAATTCAGCTCTGCTTAGACTCTGGGGGCAGGAATATGGTCCACCCGAGAACAGATGCAATACTTTCTTCAAGCAATTTGGCCCCAGACATTCTGATAATGGACAGTGGTTCCTCAGTAAGAAGGGTCCTGACCCTCCTACCTGCCTTTGCTTCTACCCAAAGAACGTGGAGAGAGAACAGAGGCCTGAAGGACAGATGCCCAGGGCTGATGCCTACAGATTAGGTCTCCTTTTCTTGTTGCCTCTTAGAAACACGGGCTTGCTAAGGAGACAAAGGACCCTGCTAAGTATTTAGGTTGAACACTGTTTATATCCATACCCTCGACTCTCGAGGAAAAATGAACCATATTAATAATACATCTTCCTTTTGGAACACCAACCCAGAATGCATTTTCCTAAGCATTTTCCTGGTGACCACCTGCTCTGATTTCCTGTAGAGCTAATTAGGTCAGGGGAGTGGTTGGGGCTATCTTTGCTCGTAGGGAGCATAATTATTTTTAACTTTTGAGTTTGTTCCCTGGATTAGGAGTAAATTAGCACTTCCGGCTTGATAATTTTCCACCTTGCAAAGCAGAACTTAATTCTCGTTGTGAGCATCCCTCCCTTGTATCACCTCCTCTAAAAGCATCATACTAATGACTAAGCAAGTTTTCGCTTAGTGCCCCAACTTCATGTTTCATTACTGGGCTCATCATTTCCACCCCATTTACAGAGTAACTAAGGACTTGAGTATGAAGACCAAAAGAGGTGGGGGTCGGGGTGGCGGGCAGAAAATCAAGATTTCTTCTCAATTTTATGTAATTATGATGGTATTTTGCTTATAAAAATGTAGAGGTCTGTGTATTGCTTAATCACTCATCTTGTATATGTAATGGCAACTGTCAACTGACACAGAATTACATGAAGCTTATTTCTCAGATTTGAATTCATGCTTTGATTTCAATGAAGCAGGTGTAGTGATTTTCTGAACCCCAATGACAGCAGCAACCACCTTCTGGAAATGCTATATAGAACATGCTGTAGAGAATACACAGTTATTGCTATTACTCTGATTAAGACAACTACCTTTTGTATTGTCTTTTACAAATTGCTTTCATATACTTCCTTTTATTTGGTCTTCCCAATCACCATGTGAGGTTGGAGTTATTATTTTTCCTATTTTATAAATGACAAACTGAATGTCACACAGTTCAGCTGACTAGTAGAAAGACACAGGGTTGAAACATAGAGCCGGGATTCAACCCCAAAGCTTCTGAGTCCTGAATCCACAGTCTTTCTCGTACTGTGCTGTTTCCAGAGCAATAGTCTAACGAGCCAAAATGGAGAGGGTGCCACTAGTTCATCAGCGTCTCTAGCTGTGTTGACGTCCCAGCCAATGTAATGTTACAGGATCTACCAAGAAGCATCCAGTGTTATTTGACTGGCTGGGTACCATATTCCTCCTATTTCCACATAGAGGTCTTTGAATCAAAAAATATTCATCGCAATACTTTACACATGAATAGATTTTATCTTAAAAGTCAAGCACCTGAAGAAAGTGTTCAGTAACTCAAAACTGCCGCTGAAACCTGTCCTAAAGTTGAGATTTCTTTGGAGAGACTTGACGGACTCAGTACCAAGGAAAAAATCCACATCAAAAATAAGAAAGCGGTTTTATTTTATTTATTTATTTTTTTGAGCTATGGGATGCTTCGGGTTCTTATTCATATTTTCAGACCAGTGTCCAGGATACACGGTTTGTTGGTTTTGAGAGTTAAATCATACTTGCAGATTACCATATTCCTGTAAAACCAACCTAAACGCCTTTGGAAAAGAATGCAGGGGAGAAATACCTGCTCTCCATCTACCTCACTATGGTGATTTGGGAAATAATCGTATTTAATGTGAATGTTGCAGACACTGTCTTGCAATCATTCTCATTGGTTACATTTAATAAGACCATGTTTACAGTGTATTTTTGTTATCATTCATTGGTTGAAAAGGGCTCTCTAACAATAAATTCCAGTCACTAAATGACAGCTTCCTTCCCATTGCCATCTCCATTACCCTACATCAGAAGGAGAGACACTCTAAAAAGGAAAAAATAGGAAAAGAGAGGTCACCGAAAAGAGGATATTAGTGAAATCCAAATGACCTGAACTTGAAAATTAATGAAGCCCAAAATGGATTCTTTTCTCTGGCCAAATCACATTTGCTTTATTTATCAAAATTGTTTGGTAAGTGAATGCATTGTCACTCATTAGAGTTCCTGGCATTGATATTACTAATCTCACCGATTGGCTATTTCCAAATGCAAATGGTTGGATAAAATTCTTTGTGATTCAGAACTTCTAACATTGGGTGTTTATGAGATTCTTGTTTCTGTTCCAGGATCAACTGTTATTGACATGTACCCTTTAACTAAGATGATACAAGATACAAAACAGATTCCTCGCACTCATGAACGAGAAATCAATGTCATGCTTTACAACAAAAGTTTTCACCAAGTACTTACCATCTGCTCTGAATCCATAATTAAGGTAAGCACATATTGACTGAGCAGAAAGAAAAAGGCAAAGCAGACAGAATTTTTTCTTCTTCCTGGTAAGTCTCTGAATGATTAAGTAAATGCAGTGGCAGGCATGATGAGACCCTACTTCGATCTATTTTCAAGCTTTCACAAACACATGAAAAACAAGTATTTTAAGCCAGCTCTAACTGCCTGGTATTAAGCCACATTCTCAATTAAGTAAACAAAGCCAGTTGTTACTATCAAAATAGGAATTTTAAAGAAAATCTATCTATCTATCTATCTATCTATCTATCTATCTATCTATCTATCTATCTTTCCATCTATCTGTCTATCATCTATCTATGTATTTTTTTTTTTTTATCCTCACCCGAGGATATTTTTCCATCCTTTGTACAGATAGAGTGGGAGGGAGAGAGAGGAAGGGAGAGAGAGAGAGAAACATCGACGTGAAGGGACACATGGAGTGGCTGCCACCCGCACGACCAACCAGGGCCGGGGACAAACTGCAACCGAAGTACGTGCCCTTAGCGGGAACCGAACCCGGGTCTCTCCGGACTGCAGGCCGACGCTCTAACCGCTGAGCCAAACTGGCCAGGGCTATCTATGTAATTTTTTAAAACTGAGCTATGGGAAGAGGGTATGTTAAGAAAAAAGGGAAAGAAATTGATAGATGTTTCCTATAACCCCTTTAGGCATGGGCTACGTGCCACGTGCCTTAAATCCATGACCTTAGTTAATCCTCACAACAGTCCTCTATGGACCAAGAGAGTTCCATTTGAAGGGTGAGCAAATGAGGGCAGAGAGATTGAGCAGCAGGACTGGGGTATGAACCCATGGCCTTTCCTCTTCGTTCCTCTGGCCCTGCCCTACTGCGTTCCCTAGAGGCCAGGGTACGTGGTCATGGCAACAGTACCGTAATTGCGTTCACTGCCGGCGTAGCAGTGATGGCTGGAGGTGTTTGCTTCAAGTGTTTATCCTTTCAATCCGTGCATGCCCTCCAAAAGGAGACATGGGCGAGTAGAGAGCATTCCTCTGGAAACCCTCCAAACTCCCTCCCAGTCTTTCCTCTGCACGTCTGTGGGAGATGTTCCCAGGTCCAGATCTCATGAGTTCGGTCAGTTATCACTTCATCCTTAATGCCTATGGAGTAAGTGGAAGGAAATTAACACTGAAACCTGTCCTGCTTTCATGCAATGCGGCCTCTTAAAGGGAAAGTGTCTTCCCTGGGGGAGAAAGACATCTGGGGGAGTTCCCACTGGTTTGAGGGGCGTGTCCTTCATGCCAGTAAATAGGTGACTGAAACCCATTCGCGCAGTGACACTCTTTCTCCCTTAAGGACCTTGTTTACACTCAGGGGCGTGAGGCGGTTAAGAGCATGGCCTCTGCGGCCAGGTTGGCTCCTTTCAGATCTTGGCTCTACCACTTCCCAGTTGGTGGCCTTTGTCATCTGGCCGCCACACTATTTCTTCAGCTCCTCCCCTCCCCCTCATTCACCCCCTGAAACCACTTTCTTTCAGCTCCCTGGAGGAGCAGTGCATCTTCCTACCGCAGGCCCTTTGCTTACACTGCCCCTCCCGGGATAACCTGAGTGCGACCAAATTCGGCCTGTGCTGCCACTTCAGGTTTATTATGTGTGAGCATAGCAGATCCATGAAGGGGGGAGATTCAGGCTGAAGGACTGCGAGACTACAGTGTCTACTGTGTTTCCAAAGAGAGAGAATGATGAGTCTCGACATGTTCCTGGATTTTCTGATCACAGCCATCCTCATTAGAGGCAGCCTTCTCTGAGGTCTTAAAGTCTTAGCCCTCCACCTCCACTCCTCTCCCCCTCTCTCTCTCCGAACCCCTCTCCCTAATCAGAATACTCCTTGGAAAGCTCTTCCCTCCGGGTTCTCTCGGATTCCGTGCTATTAACCACACATTCTGTCCAGTGATCCTCTAGCTAATTTGGATGAGTGTCAACAGAGAGAAAAAAATCCAGAGTCTTTGTCTGCTGGACTCATAACCTGTTACATTTTCGTCTTGCTTCATACTTACAATAGCAATTGACTACTTGGTCCAAGCCAGGGCTTCCTGGGAGAGTCTGCTGCCACGTACATGCGCAGCAGACTTGCCCGGGGCAGCGCAGTAACCATCGGGCAGTCCTGCATCCGTCAGAACTTCCTTTGATCAAACCAACATTCCGGGCAGAATGCTGGGAAAGGCGTTAGCCCTAGGGACAAAGCACCAATTTTGAGGCTGTTTTGAATATTGTAAAATTTTGATAAGAACCGAAGGGATTGTGGGTCATTTGATTATTCCTGTTCTTACCTACAGGTGTGGGAGCTTGAGACTGGCCTCCATATATACCAGATTTTAGACCCTCACGGCTTCAATGTTGAACTGACTTCTGCAGCCATCGATGACAGCGGATTAATTTTTGCCACAGGAGCATACAATGGTCAGACCAATGTTCTGAGAGTTTGTTCTAGGAACGCATTAGTTGCTTGGGTCACAGGGAGCAAGGATCAGGCGGGAACATGCGCCGTGCCAGCGAGATGGCACTGACTGAAGAGTGACAACTCTTCTCTAACGGGCATCAATGTCCTGACGCTGATGTTCAGAATAGCCAGTGCCTTACAGTACATTCACATAGTTGCTCTAGTTTGTAAGTCTTTCCCACATACAATCTCTCTCACTCTATCTTTGGCCGGGCTTATCTGTGTCACACTGACTCATTCTGTCCTAATTTTGGGTACCATCCGCTAAGAGAGAGACATTAGATTCAGTGATTACTGGTAATATTTTTAATGATAGTAGACTCTGGGGCCAGACAAAACATCCAGCCAGCTTTGTCATACAACACCTAGAGTTCTCCTTGGACGTGTTTATACGCGCCAGCTCTTTGGGGGCGTGTGCCGGGCACACTGGAGGACATGGGGCTCAGGCTGTGCTGTGTGTGTGATGTCCTGGGGCTGGGACATCACATGAAACTTCCAGGAACCTGCCCCCCACACACATGCACCTCATCTTGTTCTGAGCTCCCAGGAAAGAACTGCTTTATGTAGACAAACTGCATGCACTACACAGAATAACTTTATTCTAGGGACATAGTTACTCAGTCCATGCTGGCATGTAAGCCCCTGATGGTTGAGTGAACACCCTGCTGTAAAAGTCTGATTTATAAAAGTGTGAGCGGATAACAATACACAGGAAATAAAAGTGTGGCTGCTGAGTGACAGGGTGTGAATAAGTGCAGTGTCTCCAGCGTGGGACAGTTCGAACAAAGGCATCCACTGCTCTTATCTATTTATTTATTTATTTTGTGGTACGTGCCCCTAGCGGGAACCAAACCAGGGACTCTCTGGTCCGCAGGCAGATGCTCAACCGCTGAGCCAAACTGGGTGGGGCGTCCACTGCTTTTACCAACATGCCCTCTGCACAGGGTCCCAGGAAAATTCCAAGCAATGTACACCTGTTATCAGACATAAGCATTAGGCAGCTCAGCGTGACAGATGGCACTGTTTTCATGCGGGCATAATATTTTATTCCGTTAGTGATACAGTCTAGAGGTATTTAAACATTGCCAGTTAAGGAGGGGGAGGCAAAGTGCTGTGAGGGGCAAAGTCCACGGGATCTAACCCTGAGGTGACCACTGTAAAAACCCATGTGAGAGTGTAATTCTCTACCCTGAGGACTGACCTTGAACCAGGCATCCAACAACTGCACTGATTATCACTGTTCCTGGCCCCTTCATCAAGGTCCCCTAACTAGATGAGTGAAGATAACTCAGCAGAAAGGACAATTTCAAACATAAAGAAGCTCTACCCTCCTCTTCTATGTTCCCCCTTGTAACCAACAAAACAACTTAAAGCCTGATCGTTTGTCTGCTGGGAGTCTCTTGAACCTTTTACTACCCAGCGGAACTAAAGTCCTAAAACATGTCAGCAGCTTTGGAACTGTGCCCTGCTTGCAATGATGATCTTTACTATTCATGAGGACTGTGGCATGCTATTAGGTAGACAGACAGATAGTAGGGGTAGTTAGCAAACTGGAGGACACTGGGAGAACCAAGGCAGAAGAGGTCCATTTAAAACAGAAAGCTCAGATGGGAGAGTCTGAGTTCAAAGAAAACTGTCAGGGTTTCAAGACATTGTCCCGGCCCTGGCTGGTTTGGCTCAGCAGTTAGAGCGTCGGCCTGCGGTCCAGAGAGACCCGGGTTCGGTTCCCGCTAAGGGCGCGTACCTCGGTTGCAGTTTGTCCCCGGCCCTGGTTGGTCGTGCGGGTGGCAGCCACTCGATGTGTTCCTTTCACGTCGATGTTTCTCTCTCTCTCTGTTCCTCTCTCTCCCTCCCACTCTACCTGAACAAAAAATGGAAAAATGTCCTCGGGTGAGGATAAAAAAAAAAAAAAAAAGACATTGTCCCGGTTAGCTTTGATCAGCCTGTGACAAACCAAGGCCAACAGAAATACGCTGTGTGCACGGTGAGGCCAGGGACACTCACATCTCAGTAGGAAATAAAGATAGGACACAGTGTGGGCAGGAGGCTTTCAATTAGACCAATTTTCTCTGAAATAAAAGCGAAGCTTTCTATAAATTCTTTTCACCCACAAGGTCTTTCCTCTGTGTGCCCAGGAACAGTTAAGATCTGGGACTTCGGCAGTGGCCAGGAGGTGAAAGTTCTGCCCGAAGGGAAGGACTGGAAGGAAGACGAGCTCTGGATCAAACGCCTGTTTTTCCTGAAGGCGCAGGAGAAACACCAGTACTTGCTCCTGGCCTTGGAGCGCAGCGGGAAGGTCAAAATGATGCAGGTTAGCGATGCCATCATGACATCCCTACTCTCCCCGCTCTTCTTGGGAAAATCAGCTGAGTCGGCAGATAATCCCCACTGACCTCCTCTCTCACCAGCCCGCTGAGGAGGGCATTTCCCTACCAGCCTTCTTAGGATGTTCCGAAGTAAGCTTGCCCAGGTCCGAGCCAAGAGCTAAACAGAAGAGCTGCTCAGCCACAGCATCCCTCTATCCAGTGTTTGCTGAAGGATTTCTGGGGATCGGAAGGGTTGAATTGACACCCTGCTGCCACCGCTGACATTGCTATACCTTCACTGGGGCATACGCACTGGCAAAGCTGCCCCCCAGCTGGCTCTGTCAGAGGGAGTGAGGATTTCTCCCTGTCCCTTAGAATCCGTAGTCACTTTTCCAGACTGTCGTCACAAGTGCACTGTGTACTTTAAGGTTAATGATGCAGTCTTCTCAGGGTTGTGTGGGAGGTTTGACGGAGGCTGATTTATTTTTCCTGTGAGGCTATTACTACCTAAGAATGCCTTCTTCATATTTAAAACGAAGGCTAGGCCCTGGTCAGTTTGGCTCAGCAGAACATTGGCCCATGGATCAATAAGTCCCAGGTTCAATTCTAGCCAAGGGCACATACCTTGGTTGCGGTTCATCCCGGCCCTGGTTGGAGTCGTGCAGGAGGCAACCAGTTGATGTGTCCCTCTCATATCGATGTTTCTCTTTCTCTCTCTCTCTCTCTCTCTCTCTCTCTCTCTCTTTCTCTCTCTCTCTCTCTCCCCCCCTTCCTCCTACTCTATCTGAAAATCAATGGAAAAATATCCTCAGGTGAGGATTTTGTTTTTTAAGTTTGGCTTTATCCTCATTTAAAAATTCAAAATTCAAAAATTAATAGCGTGTTCAATAGTAACCACTAGAAAGCAGAATAAATTATTATAATAGCAAAGAAAAATATGAGGTTACTAAAAAAAGTCCAACAAAAATATTCAAGAGTTTTGTGAAAAGGATAAAAAGAAATAAAGAAATGACATAAAAACAAATAACCAACCTGAAAATATGGAGAGCTATAACATTTTCATAGATGCCACAAAGATATCTTTGCGACAGTCAATTTTAAAATAAACACTTTTCGGAGATGGTTGGGAGGGAAGAGATAAACCAAAGAACTTATATGCATGTATGCGTAACCAATGGACACAGACAACAATGCCGGGGGTGCGGAGGGTGTCAATGGGGGAAAAGGAGAAACATCTGTAACAAAAATAAAGTAATTTTAAAAAGGAAAAAATAGCCCCGGCCGGTTTGGCTCAGCAGTTAGAGCATCAGCCTGTGGACCACAGAGACCCAGGTTCGGTTCCCACTAAGGGCGCGTACTTCTGTTGCAGTTTGTCCCCAGCCCTGGTTGGGGTGGTGTGGGTGGCAGCCAGTCGATGTGTCTCTCTCACATCGATTTTTCTCTCTCTTCCTCTCTCTCTGCCTCCCACTCTATCTGAAGATAAATTAAAAAATGTCCTTGGGTGAGGATTTTTTAAAAAGGGAAAGTAATAATAAACAAAAGAAACACTTTTCTTGAAAAGCAAAGTGAAAGACAAGTCACATCATGTGAGAAGTCCACTCACCATGCCCCAGGTAACTGAGAAAAGATTCAGAACGAGACTAGCTAAAAAAACCTCACAAATCCAGAAGAAAAACCAACAGCCTATCCAGCTGGTGTGGCTGGGTGGTTGAGCGTCAACCATGCACCAAGAGGTCACCAGTTTGACCCCCGGTCAGGGCACACGCCCAGGTTGTGGGCCCAGTTTCCAGCGTGGGGCATGTCGGAGGTGGCCTGTCGATGTTCTCGCTCATCGATGTTTCTCTCTCTCTCCCTCTCATTTCCTCTCTCTCTAAAATCAATAAAGGAAAAAAAATTATTTTGAGAAAAACCAACAGCCCAAGATGAAAATGGACAGAGGAAACCCAAATGTCTCACAAACACATAAAAAAACAGTTCAACTCACTAATTCAGAAAATGTGAGTAATATAATTAATAAATTTGAAGATTTGTTTTTAAAGGGCCCATTTCAAACGCATCAGATAGGAAAAAAAAAAAAAATTTGTTTTAAGCAAGTAAAACCAAGTGTTGGCAAGAACGAGAAGAAAGAAGAAGTCTTATCTACCCCAGGTGGGAGTAGAAACAGAAAACACTCCCTTGAAGAATCACGTGGCAATATTGTGCATAGCTTACAAATCGATAATTCTACTCCAGGCATTTCTCTAGAAGCTATAGCAATTGTCCATAAAAACAAGCAGCAAAAATTGACAACCTGAACATCTATCATTAAGAGAATGGATAAATAAATTGTAGTATAGTCATACAATACTATAAAGCAATTAAAAATAAATTAACTAGCCTGGCTGGTGTGGCTCGGTGAATTGAGTGTCATCCCATGGACTGAGAGGTCCCAGTTCAATTCCCAGTCAGGGCACATCCCTGGGTTGTAGGATTAATCCCCAGTAGGGGGCGTGCAGGAGGCAGCCAATTGATGTTTTTCTCTCACATTGATGTTTCTTTCTCTCCCTTCCTCTCTCTCTAAAAAATCAACAAAAACATATAAAATAATAAATGACCTAGAGCTCCATGTAATAGTATAAATCTTAAAAATATAATTGTAAGTGAAACAAGAAAGTTGAAGAATAATCTATACAATTTGATAACATTGATAAAAAAGTTAAAAGCCTGAAAACAATACACACACACACACACACACACACATATAACATGTTTGTGTAGAAATATTAAAACTTGCATAACTAACATCGACATTCAGATCACTAGTTACCTCGGGAGAGGGAAGCAGAAAGAGAAATTATATTAGGCAGTGATAGATAGAATTTAAGATTTGGCAACACTGGGTGTTAGATACATCATTTACTCACTGGATTTTTATTGAAGGGTAAAGAAGATACTATTTGTCTCACGGTGATATGGGAGCTGCCTGATGTTGTGCCTGTCCTACAGGATGGTAATCACATTGTGCGTCTGAAGACGGCTACTAAAGATAGGGGCGTTCCTTTCCCAGATGTGACCCTGATAGTTGAGCAAACCTCTTCTCAACATGTTACTGTAAGTTTCATTTCCTGACTTCCTTCCTTTTTATTATGGAACATTACGAACATATAGAAAAGTAGAGAAAATAATGCAATGATATTCGATGTAGTATAACTTAGCTTCAGTTATAAAATAAATAAGCCATAGGGGTGTAATGTACAGCATAGAAAATATAGTCAATAACATCATAATAACTTTGCACGACAGATAGTTTTCAGACTTATGGTGATCAAATTGTAAGGCATATACATGTTGAATCACTACGCTGTACACCCAAAATGAATATAATATTGTATGCCAACTATACTTAAATAAATATTTTTGAAAAATAAAGTATTTTAAGTTTATGATAGAATTACAAAGTGCACACATAGCACTTGTACTATCTTTAGATATTATGTTCACAATGGTCAATGAGTTGATTTCATTCCTTCTTCAGAATCCAGCGGTTGGTATAGAAGTGAACTGCATTGATTTATTACAAGTAGAAGGATATAATATGATAGTTGCTGGAACCTTAAATGGTGTGATCATCTTATGGAATTTTGTAACATCCACTGTCAAAGAATTGTAAGTTGCATCTGTTCCTTAAACAATGTAAGTTGTATTACAGAAGAGCCAAAGTAACATTCACACCAAAGCAATAAACATAAGTGACAATCACTCTCAAGGGAGATGTTCCTGGAGTTATGCTCATGAGGAGACTATGTTCTATTTGTCTAAATCCCAGAATAATATAAATAAGATGAGCCTGAACCATGTGTATTCTCAAGTGCTTTGATCTTCACACTTCTCACTCTAGAACATGCTTTCATGTGTGATCTTGTCCAAATTCATAACCTCAACAAATTCTTAAAACACATAATTTTAAACTCTAATTTCCCCCAGAGCTTCAAACATACATATCTGGTAATCACCAAGACCCTTAAAGCCCCCTATTCCCCAAACTTTGTCCCGATACACCCTTCCCTCAAACAATTCCTCTTCCTGTATTCCCAGTGACACCATCTACTGAGTCACCACAGTCAAATGGTGATAGACATTTTAGATGGCTTTTCCTTACCCCAACACACCTAATTCATTACAGTGCTGACGAGGGTGTGGCGTGTGCAATTCTCAGTCTCAACCAATTCGATTTTCTTTGCACTACGGCCAAACACTTTACCCTCTGCCTGCCATCCATTTCTAAATGTTCTTGCCATTGGTTAACCACAAAGGAAGTAATGTAACGACTGTATTATTTGCTATGGATAAATTGCAAATAATAAGCAATCCACAGTTGTGCAATCGGGCTAGAAAGCAAGGGCCACGTGTGAACACCCTATGTCAGAAGAGTCTGTAATATTGTATTTTGTGGTACAAGGTGGTCAAGAACCTTGATGAATGAATAACAATAAAGTCAGGTCTATCTAAGCATTTGGAGGAAGGGAAGAGGTAGAAAGGAGGGCAGAAGAGAGTGGGAGAAGACAAGGGAAAAGAAGAAAATGCAAAAGAAACATTGATGTGAGAGGGACACAGCGACTGGTTGCCTCCCCCATGACCCCAACCAGGGCCGGGGATGAACCGCAACTGAGGTACGTGCCCTTAGCCAGAATCAAATCCGCGACTCATTGGTCCTCAGGCCAACTCTGTACCGCTGAGCCAAACTGACCAGTTCACCCTTTTATTAATGTGGTTCTCACACTATAAGTTTCAGCCTGTGCGTGACTCATTACCAAGGGAAATCAGACCAAAAAGGCAAAGACTATAGTACTGATGCCACAGCCGAAGACAGGGAAGCTCCCCTAAGAACAAGTCCAGCTTCAGGGTGGAGATCCTCCTTGTGGAAGGGCTAGGCATTTTGCCAAGGGATGCATGCAAATTCAACATCCCATCGAAGAAAAAGAACCGACTTCGTGGGTTATACATAGTGTCCCCTTCTTAGAAAAAGATGATTATGTAAAACCAACTGATTTAGAATCACTGGAGTATTTTGCAAAACATAACTGAGCACAGAAATGTCTAGTGTGATTTAGACCAAGCTTTAAAAGCTCCAGTGTGCAAGATGGTAGCCATATTCGTGGTGAAGGCCACCTCTACCTACCTCTCCCTCAACTCTGCCTGAGATCCCTTCCCCAGTCAGGACAAATAGCCCCTCTCTTCCTGTTCAAGCTCTTTGTGAACCCATCTAGCACTTGTCCTTGGCAATTAATAATCCACATCACCATTCAGCTAATCTGCGGAGCAGAAATAAATGAAAAGTTTGAGTTTAACAAATCATCAAGCCCACAAGCTCCTCTGTTGAGCTTGGTTCACCACAACCCCCCAGAGGTTTCTTCATCATTCATCAGATTCAATTAGCAGAGGCGATTTCCACTAAAGGAAAGGGAACATTTTGCTACAAGGTCTGTTTGCTGTAAGGAACGTTGAGTGTGGCTTTAAGAGCTGAGCATGAAGTGCCAGTGTAGCGGGTAGGGACTCTCGCTGTGCTCCCAGGAAAGTGCCTAGGAAGGTGTTCGCTTTGGAATCTGGGCCGATGGGAGACTCCAGGAACGAAGCAGTATAATCACCGAATTGCCTGCTTGTCTCCACTCAAGTCTAAGGTCCTTGATGGCAGTCACTATATTTCATCCAACTTTGTCACTCTTACTTACTCAAATAGTAGAATTTTATTCTTTAAACTGTATGAAACTTCTGGGAGGTTATATGAGCCCACTCTCTGACCTATAAGTAGGGAGACTAGACCAACTGGTTGAATTAAAAGACTTGTAAACACTAAATGGTGGTGTTGTTATCCAGAGCCTTATTAAGAAAGATATGGTCAAACTCTACACATCTGGGTTTCCCTTCCCGTTCAATGATGTCAATGTTTTAGGAGTTGATTAGCCTTGTATGGGATAGTTAATGTAAGTAATGTAAGTTACATAATTGTTTAAATGTGTATCATGTACTTGTATGCTTCCTCCCAGATACAGACCTGAAGATTGCTTCACTGAAAACCCTGACTTGGATCCCAAACGCTTTAGAATTAATGACATACTGTTCCTCTTTCGTACCCCTGAATGTGCAAGGTAACTTGGTACTTGCTGGTCAATAAATAATGTCTGGGTCTTATCGGTGATATGTAAAGAGTTCTCCCCATCCCAGCATTAAGGAAGGTACAACCGAGGGAAGACAAGTTGGGTAGACTACATGGTTTCAGCTTTCTTCTCTGTCACTGTCTTTTGCGGTGGGTAGTCCCCAGGGATCTAATTTGCTGGGTGGGAACTTAATTTCCCTCACTCTGTCAGACTCGCAGCACCTTTAACAACAGTAGGTAGTAAAGAGGGAAAATGCTCATTTGACCACACTTGTAGCCAAAATCAGACGGGACTTGCAAAGCCAACATGACAGGTCAAATGCAGCAGAGTAATATGCCATCCACTGAAACTGAGCAATCCTCATCCATTCGGAGAGAGCGGGAGATCTTTTCTTAAATACTTAAGAGAAGGTATTTTTTCCTCTTTATATTTGCTTGTGAGCTCTGATTTCCAGGCATTAGGCCATGATAAACACATCTCGGGAGGAAGTCAAAAGTTCTGTGCTAGTCTGGGGTCACCCAGAGGTGAGCCAGAACACCTTCTCCATCCCTTGGCTTGAAATGTCCTCATTCTGAGAGTATTTTGAGGACCTGTTCTGGATATGCTTGTACCAGAACATCATTTAGCTCATTCCAGAAGAATGCCACAGAGTGGACCAGGCCAGAACTGGAAACTGTGGAGAAGTTAGCCAGGCCACTCAGGACCACCACCACCACCACCATCACCCCACTCCCACCCCAACCCACTCCCACCATGTCAGGGGAGAGCCTCTGGGACTGCATCGAGCCTTAGTCCTGAGACAGGGAAGATTTCTAGTCCCCAGACCAGGCAGCAGTGAACTTGAATTCCAGAGGTTCACTAACAGTCTCCACCAACACCAGACAGATGAGTATTTGTCGCACAAGATACGGGGTGCTTTGTTTTGTAAGTGAGTGGCTCAATATCTACAGAGGATGAAAGAAGGAATCGACTGAAATTAAAGCAGAGAAGACCACCCTCTGAGTATGAAAGAAACTCAACGTCTCCTCTTGGGGCTTCCTCTCTGTCCTTACAGAAGATCAAGTCAGGACTCCGTATGCTCTTCGTCCCAGTGTGATTCCAGTAAAGGTCCTCAGAGCAGCAAGGTAAGCAAGAAACAGGGAGAGTGTGACTTCCTTTTACACCAGTGTTGGTCCGAAAACCATGGTTTGTTGCATTTGACCTCCTCCTTTGATAAAAGGGGGGAATTTTTTCTGTGTGTAAGTGTGTACATAAAATTTCTTTTTGTTTTCCCTAAAAAGCAATGTCTAAACTGTTTTCATCCTTTTCCCCCTATTTTGAAGGCTTTCATAACATCAAAGAATCATATAACCATGAATAAAATACATTACATATGCTACATTTACATTTGTAAAATGAAGTAATTTTAGACTGCTTTGCTAAAAGTGGTCCATACATTTCATGGGGGAAAGAGATAACACAATGTAATGTGTGGTTTTGAAATTCTGTTTTCAGTTACAATTTTACATATTTTTACACATGACACTTCTAGTGAGAAATTTGTTTCCAGGGGAGTTTTCACTGCAAAATTTGTTTAAAAACCACTAGAACTGTGGAAAAAATAAACTTATAAGACTGTTGAATCAGACCTTGCTGGATTGGCTCAGCGGTTAGAGTGTCGGCCCGTGGACCAGAGTCCCGGGTTCAATTCCAGCCAAGGGCACGTACCTCGGTTGCAGTTAGTTCTCGGCCCCAATTTGGGTCTTGGGACTGTGTGGGTGGCAACCAATCAATGTGTCTCTCTCATATTGATGTTTCTCTCTCTCTCTCTCTCTCTCTCCCACTCTGTCTGAAGATAAATGTAAAAATATCCTCGGGTGCGGATTAAAAAAAAATTTTTTTAAAGAATGTTGAGTCAGATAGACTTGAACTTAAATCCATGTGTTCCACTTATCTATTCGCTTTAGAGACAGCACTTAATCTCTGAGTTTCTATTTCTTCATCAGTGAAAAGGGAATAATAAGCCCAACTTGCATGGTTGCTAATAGAATTAAGAATGATGTGCACCGAGAATGCAGCATGCACTGGGCATTTAATCTCTCTGTCTGAACCACCAGGGAAATGTAGTGCAGGCACCGATTTATGAGCATGAAAATCTCTGCCATACATATTTCAAAGAATTAATTAAAAATAACTTCAATGCTTAGAAATGTATTAACTATCTGAAGAATCTATGGCTCTCACTCCCTTACAATGTCATAGGAATATCTTCTTTTTTCTCCCCTAATTCAGGGAAGCAAACAGAGCATCCATGACAGTGAGGGTAAAGGTCAGTACGAAACCACCTCTCTTCCTTATGATAAAAGATGCTTTTGCAATAGGGAGGTTAGGTGATAGAATACTCTTAATGAATATATTCTTTTTGGACTAAATATTGAGGAGCAATAGGGTTAAGCAGTCTAAGAAGCAGAATTTCCATTATGATGATGCTGTTTTAAATCCTAATTCTAGGTTTTTAAAATCCAAAATATTATTGAGCCTCTTAATCTCCAGCCCTTTTTCTAGAACTTCTACTAGATTCATAAGCCATGTATAAGACTTAAACTGGATGTATAAGACTTAAACTGGATGTTTAAGATTTAAACTGGATGTAGAAGACCTAAACTGGATGTTTATATGGTTTTAGCCGTTATGTACAGTGAAGAGGCTTTGCAATAAGACCATAAATAAGCTCTGCAGGTTTTTCTAGTGGTACCGGCATCCACTTATTCATGTTTGTGTTGTTTTCTGCCCAGATTAAAAATCTCTTGGGTTAAAAATAAATTCTAGGGAAGAAAATATGTTGTTTTTGGTATTTCCTACCTCCCTTCTCTGAAGCATTCTATAAAATTTTGAATTCTAAGTATTGCAAACACCAAGGTAGATCATTAATTTTTCAATAGGTGAGCAAACAGATGTCACTGTGGGAGAGCAACAGCCAGGGGACAAAAAGCATGTTGCAGAGACTCAGCCACCTGTCCTTGTCACCGCTCACGAGGACGGCCACCTCCGCTTATGGAGTATAGAGGTGATGAGGCCCCTTATCTACGGGAGTAGCAAAGGATGAGAAGGATTCAAAGGATTACTAAATACACCCCGGCCTTCTAGGGTTTCCTATAGCATCCAATTTTAGTATTTTTTAAACCTTTAGTCAAATTGCCAGTTTTGTAGCCTGCTGACTGACAATGCTACTTAAACTTTACCATTGGCCAGTTTTGTAAGTCAAGAAATAAAATCATCAAAATTGAAAAGTTAACTATTTTACCTCTTTCTTTTCTTTAAACTGAGCGATGAGTACATGCCACTAAATATTTCATTGGGTATTTAAATATTAGAGGATGTCAATGATGTATTATAGTGAAATAATATAAGAATACTAAAATGTTGGGTATGCATAAAATTTCAGTTATTTATACTATTGGAAGTTATTACATTGTAATGGGTGTCCTTAAACATTTTAATTTAAAATATATATCTTTTATTTACTAGAAGCTTTTAAGTGACTTGGGGTGGAAGATGGGTGGAATTTGAGTTTGGAGGACAGCAGATGATGGAAGGAAAGATCTTGAGTAGACTGGTGATGGTGGCATGGAGTCCTTAGAGAGCAAGGGAAGGAATACCATTCATTAGGCTCCTTTCAAGAGGGAACCCCAGCCCTGGCCAGTTAGGCTCAGCGGTTAGAGCGTCGGCCTGCGGTCCGGAGAGACCTGGGTTCGGTTCCCGCTAAGGGCACGTACTTCGGTTGCAGTTTGTCCCCGGCCCTGGTTGGTGGTGCGGGTGGCAGCCACTTGATATGTCCCTTCACGTTGATGTTTCTCTCTCTCTCTCCTTCCTCTCTCTCCCTCCCACTCTATCTGTACAAAAAAATGGAAAAATATCCTCGGGTGAGGATAAAAAAAAAAAAGAGGGAACCCCAGGAAAAAGCAACAGTTTTGTGTAGCATGTCATGGAATCCAACAGCACAGAGCAGCATTACTGAGCTGGAGGAAACCTCCAAGTCCATGGATCCTAGCTTATTAGGAGAAACTCTTGACTTGAAAAGCACAAAATATTGTAACCATAACCTTCTCTGAGATGACCTTGGTATTGAAGCAATGCCCTTTTTCTCTAATCGAGAAATAAATGAGTGAGAGAATTAGGAAGGAAAAAATTATACCCAAGCAGCAGATTCAAATTCTTCTCAAGCTTAGGACTTCCTAGCACAACGGTGCCGCGTCTGACTCCAAATTCTTCTCAAGCTTGGTGTTTCTTCTCTAAGAAGGCAGGGCACGTGGAGCGTCTTCTGATCTTGACATACTAAGTGCTGGAAAATGATGTGCTGAATCTGAATCTCGTACAATCTCTAATCTTGCACCAGTATTCAAAAATAGATATTTCTGAAAAGGCAAATACAATATTCCTGTTTAAAACAAATGAGAAACACTTAAGCTTGAAAAGAATGTTTCTTTAAAAGAATATGTAACTGGAAAAGAGGTCGGAGGAATTGCACGAAAGGGTGATGAGAAGTACAAAAAGCCCCAAATGTAGAAATGATCTGTAATAATCAAAGTTGAGATGCTTATCATTCAAGTTCTCTACACCTTTATGAATATTCAATTTCAAGAAAATAAGCTCCTATGAATAGTTTCAAATTACTTTTATTACAAGTAGAATCATGTTTCAGTAGTAGAGATCAATCTTTAGGTAGATTACTTACAGAGAAACTCAACTCTGATATGAATATTTTATAGAATTTGTTATTCTATTTTATGCAGGGAAAACTGCTGAAAGACATGCTACCTTTTACAAAACATTCTGCCATTTCTCTGACATCGCTGTATATTGATTCCTGTACCAGGATACTACTGACTAGCAATGTAGGTAAGTCATTACCCTCATGTAGTCGGCCACAGGTATCTTAAACTACAAGATGTAACACGGAATATAGGAAAATATGTGACCTGTGTTGATACAGAAGAATAAGAGGGATGCTCAGACACGAGAGTGTTGAGAGTACTATGGATAGCTCACTGAATGAATAACACAATGAATGGATATGAAAACCTACTTCTTTTCTAGCTTTTCCTTACAGCAAGACATTCTATTTCTTCCATCTTTAAGTTGGGAATAAGACTACCCTTACCTTACATATTGGGGAAAATGTAAATTTTTCATTTTTAATCTTAAAAGGGTTGTGTTGCATTCATCTTCATTATTAAAAGGAGAAGCTTGAAATTATTTATTTTTAATAGAGGATTTTCTTTTATATTTATTGTTATAATGAATATAGTTGGTCTTAATTCTTTCATGTAATGCTATTCTTTTTTGTTTTTAATTTTTTGTCTTTTTTTATTGGATTTATTAGGGTGACTGGTTAATAAAATTATATAGCCTTCAGGTGTACAATCTATAATACCTCAACTATATATTGTTTTGTGTGTTCACCACCCCAAGTCAAGTCTCTTCCCATCATCATTTATCCCCATTATACCCTCTTCTAACTACCCCCAACTCCCTTCCCCTCTGGTAATCACCATACTATTGTCTGTGTCTATGAGCTTTTTATTTTCTTTTTGCTCAATAACTTCACCTTTTTCATCCAGCCCTGCAATCCCCCTCCCCTCTGACAGCTGTCAGTCTGTTTTCTATCTATGAGTCTGTTTCCATTTTGTTTGTTAGTTTATTTTGTTTGTTAGATTCTACATATGAATGAAAGTATATGGTACTTGTCTTTCTCTAAATGGCTTATTCCACTTAGCATAATGCTCTCCAAGTCCATCCATGCTGTCACAAAAGGTAAGATTTCCTTCCTTTTTATGTCGAACAGTATTTCACTGTGTAAGTGTACCATAGCATTTTATCCACTCATCTGATGAACACTTGGGCTGCCTCCAAATCTTGGCCATTGTAAATAATGCTGCTGTGAACTATTCTTTTTTTGATTATTCATTTCTATTTTCTTTCTCCTGTTTTTTTAAATTAATTATAAATTTCATCTTTCCCATATGTTTAAAGATTATGTGTCTATGAATGTACATGAAAGCTTTTATCATGAATGGGTGTTGGATTTTGTCAAATGTTTTATCTGCATCTATTGATCTGATCATGTGACTTTTCTTCTTTATCCTATTGTTGTGATGGATTACATTAATTGATTTTCAAATATTGAACCAGCCATGCATACCAGTGATAAATACCACTTGGTCATGGTATATAATTTTTAATACCTCTTGGACTCAATTTGCTAATATTTTGTTGAGGATTTTTACATCTATTATTACAAGAGATTTGGGTCTGCAGTTTTCTTATCTTGTAATGTCTTGGTGTGCTTTGGGTATTAGAGTAATGCAGGCTGTATTCCCTCTGCTTTTATCTTATAGATGAGATTGTAAAGAATTTGTATTCGTCCATAAATGTGTAGAATTCACCATCAAACCCATCTTAACCTGGTGCTTTCTGTTTAGAAGATTACCAAATTCAGATTCAATGTATTTAATAAAATAGCTCTATTAAGATTGTCTGTCATCTTGTGTGAATTTTGGCAGTGTGTCTTTCAAGGAATTGGTTCATTTTATCTAGGTTATTAGATTTGTGCACATAGAGTTCATAGTATTTATTGTTCTTTTAATGCCCATGAGATCTGTAGTGATGTTTTTTCTTAATTTATGATATTAGTAATCTTTATGCACTTGCCTTTATTTTTCTTAGTTAGCCTAACTAGTGGTTTTATCAATTTTATTGATCTTTTCAGAGAACCAACTTTTAATTTCACTGATTTTCGCTATAGATTTCCTATTTTTTGTTTCATTAATTTCTACTCTTTATTTGTATTATTTTTCCTCTTTTGCTTACTTTTAATTTAACTTATACTTTTTCTAGTTTTTTAAGGTATAGGCTTAGATTATTGATTTAAGATATGTCTTCCTTTTTTATTGATTTTTAGAAAGAGAGGGAGGGAAAGGGAGAGAGAGAAAGAAACATTGATGAGAGAGAAACATCAACATCAATGGGCTGCCTCCTGCACGCCCCTCGTTGGGGACCAAGCTGCAACCTGGTCATGTGCCTTGACCAGGAAACAAACCAGCAACCTCTTGGTGCATGCTCAACCACTGAGCCACACGAGCTGGGCATCTTTCCTTTTTAAAAAAATAAACATCTAATGCTATAAATGTTTCTGTAAGTACTGCTTTCACTGTTTCCCATAAATTTTTAATAAGTTGTGTTTTCACTTTCATGTAGTTCAAAATATTTAAAGTTTCTGTTGAGGTTTCTTTTTTGACCCATTATTTAGAAATATATTGTTTAATCTCCAAGTATTTGGGGATTTTCAAGCTAAGTTTTATTACTGATTTCTAATTTAATTCCATTATACCATTTCATACATTGAAAGCACATATTTTATGGTTTCTATTCTTTTATATTTGTTAGTGTGTGATTTATGGCCCAGAATGTGGTCTATTTTGGTGAATGTTCTAGGAGAGCTTGAAAAGATGTGTTTTCTGCTCTTGTTGGATGAAGAAGTCTATAGATGTCAATTATATCCAGTTGATTGATGTTGCTATTAAGTTCAGCTTTGTCCTTGTTGATTTTCTTCCTGTTGGATTTCTCCATTTCTTTTGATTTTTTTTTTTTCTTTATTGATTTTAAAGAAAGAGGAAGTTTGGGAGAGAGAGATAGAAACATTGATGAGAAAGAACATTGATTGGCTGCCTCCTGCATACCCTCCACTGGGGATTGGGCCCACAACCTGGGTATGTGTCCTGACCAGAATCGAACCGGTGACCTCTTGTTGCATAGGTCGATGCCCAACCACTGAGCCACACTGGCTGGGTGGATTTGTCCATTTCTTATGGATGGGGATTAAAGTGTCCAGCTATAAAAGTAGATTTATCTATCTCTCCTTAAAGGTTTTCAGTTTTTACCTCTGGTATTCTGATGCTCTGCTGTTAGGTACATGCGTGTTGAGGACTGTTTCATCTTCTTGGAGAACTGACTTCTGTAACATTGTATAATGCTCCTCTTTATCCCTGATAATTTTCCTTGCTCTGAAATCTTTTCTGTGTGAAATTAACATATTTACTCTGCTTTCTTTTGATTCTGTTAGCATGTAAATCTTTATCACTTTACTGTTAATCCATATGTTTCTTTATGTTTGAGGTGAATTTCTTGTAGACAAAATATAGTTGGTTATTGTTTTTTAATCCATTCTAAGTCTCAGTCTTGTAATTGCTTTATCTAGACTATTGACCTCTAAAGTAATTATTGACATAGTTGATTTAATATCTACCATATTTCTTACTGTTTTTGATTTATTGACCTTGTTTTTTGTTTCTATTTTTGTCTTTCACCCACCCTTTTGTGGTTTTAAGTGAGCATTTTATATTAATCTATTTTCTCTCCATTTGTAGCATATTAATTATATTTCTTTTTTTTAACTTTTCTTAGTGACCTCCTCAGGGTTTGCTATATATATTTACATATAATTCATGTCCACTTTCAAATAACACTATACCACTTCACAGGTACTTAAATACCTTGTGATATCAAAGTATTCCTAATTCCACCCTCACTTTATTTCATCATTGTTATTCAAGTATTCATAAATTATAATAATCAAATATATTGTTGCTATTGCTATTTCAAATAAACTGTTATCTATTTATTTTTATTTTGTCTTTACTAATTCCTTTTCTTATGCTTTCCCTTTATGTAAATCTGAGTTTTTCATCTGTCATTTTTTCTTCTTTCTTAAAAACTTTTAAAAATATTTCTTCCAAGGTAGGTCTACTTGCAACTAATTCTCTCAATTTTTGTTTGATAAAGTCTTCATTTCTCTTTCACTTTTGTAAAATAATTTCTAAGGATACAGAATTCTAGGTTGGCAAGGATTTTTTTCAACAGTTTAAATATTTAACTCCATTCTCTTCTTGCTTGCATGCTTTCTGAGAAGATGTCAGATGTAATTCTTATCGTTACTTCTCTATAAGTAAGGTGAATTTTTCCCTCTGGCTTCTTTCAAAAATTTTTTCTTTACCTCTGACTTTCTTCAGTTTGAATATGATATGCTTAGGTATAGTCATTGTTGCCTTTAAAATCTAGTTGTTGTAACTATCATTTGGATTGTAGGATGATTATCTCCATAACAGTTTGGGCTTCATTTGGTTGTTGTGCCATTTATTTCTATTTAATCTACCCTGATGTCTAGAACTTTGAGTTTGAGTATATAAGGCAACCTCATTTAGACTTATTAAGCCAGAAACAAAAAAGAATTGCTACATATAAAAATTGATATAAAATTTCTTCTTTCATTTCTAGTTTCTCAGATTCTGCTTTATTTACCATTATAAATGCCTGGGTCAAAATATCTTGGCAGTCTAGGTAGTGTTTGCTTAGACCACAGAATACCCAATTACATATTACAATGTCTAATGTTCATACAGAAGGACACGTTATCCTTTGCAGTATTGGTTCCTTCCTGAATCCACCTCATGATGAAAAGGTAAGAACTTTAGTCTTAGTTTAATTTGTGAATCAGCACATATTTGTTGAGCATATCTCTGTGCTAGACATCACAAAAGATCTACAAGCCAAGACTCCCTACTCTCAGTTCATATATACTGCTACTGAACTTTAAGATATGTGACAAGTAACAATGGTCTACTGGTGAAAGAGGGGATGAGTGAGTGAGTGAGCCAGCACTGGTCACTTTGCATCTACTTCATGTTTTGACTTATTTGTGAGAATCTATGCAGAAATCCAGAGCTTAAAAGAGTTTATGCATCATCTCGTCCTCCACAGCCAGTTTTTATATCTTATATATCTTCATAGAATAAAATTCTGTAACATTTCTTTGCAAGCCTAATCTTGTTTCCAACCATTATTATTTTCAGGAAAATCTTTGTCACATCTAGTCTAAATCCTTTTTATCACTCAAACATACATATCCTATTTTTAGTGTGAATGTAATATTAATGTCGCCATAAAATATACACTTGTGCATATGTGGATATACAAATATATACATATATTATAAAGACTCAACACTAATTAAAGATTACAGCAGGAAACACTATTTTAGCATAGGCTTATTTTCCTTTAAGCTAATACTTCATATTCAAAAGCTAAACATTAGTTTAAATAATATTTTTTTATTTTGGGGGCATTTTAAAATGGTTATTATTTCAAATGATTATTGTTATTAGTTCATTTTATACATGGAGTGTTTTTTTGTTTGTTTCAAATAATCTATTATAATTTTTATAAAGTTCATACTTTAGCTTTGGTGTGAGTGTATTTAGTTTGTAGAGGGGAAATCAGAGAGTGGTTTGCCTAGCATGACATAGACAGTTAATGATGAAGTCAGGGTCAGAAACAGGGTTCTTGCCCTCTAATCCAGTGATCTTTCCATATATAGCTTCTACTGGTATCAAATGGAAAACATTAAGGTTCAACTGATGAAGCACATAGTTTCATTTATCAAGTTATAAATGTCCTATAATCAAGGCATGCTATGGGCTGAACGGAAGTGATCAGAGGCTTGAACCATGAATAGATAGAAGATTATCTAATAGATTGTGTTCTCCCACTTGGACTGATTATCAATATTCTATTATTAATTTTAATAGATAAAAAATATGATTTTTACAAATGGACTTTCTGCAAACTGGCAAACAGACCTTTTAAAATTCAGAGAAAGTGTTTAAAACAGTTATATGCTGATATTGAATTAGTCGAGTAGTAGAATTGATTATAAAGCATTTTCACCAATTTAAAAGAAGAGAATCTATTTTAATAACTTATTTATTTTTTCCCATCCAGCTTCATTTCAGTCTTTACTGTGTTTTAACAATGTGATTTTCCAATTTTTACATGGCTGCCTATTTGTAAATATACAACAGAATCTGGCTATAAGATGCCTCATGATCACAAAGACTAATCTATGCCCTGCACTAAACCAGATCCAGTTACAGCCTGCAACTGCAATGAAAACCTAATGTGTAAGCCTATAAGTCAGAGGCAAATCTAGTTCTCTTGAACCATTACCGTCATAAAGATACTTCATGAAGTACAGATATTCTAAGAGACAGAATAGTTAAAATCTGCCCACAGAAAGAAAAATCACACATATGATTATATAAACATGCATATAAAACATCTTAGGACAGTGTCTTTTTTTTTTTTATCCTCACCCGAGGACATTTTTGCATTTATCTTCAGATAGAGCAGGAGGAAGAGAGGGAAGAAGAGAGAGAGAGAAACATCGATGTGAGAGAGACACATCGAGTGGTAGCCACCCACACGACCCCAACTGGGGCCGGGGACAAACCACAACCAAGGTACGTGCCCTTAGAGGGAACCGAACCCAGGACTCTCTGGTCCGTGGGCCGACGCTCTAACCGCTGAGCAAAACCAGCCAGGGTGGAACAGTGTCTTTTTAATTACAGGTTGTAATCTACTAGAGGATTATAAAATCAATTTAATGAGTAGCAAGCAGTATCTTCATAGAACGGAAAAGAATGAAGTGGAATTAAATGCAATAGAATAGAATAGAAAGTATCAACGTGAATTACACATAATAAGGTTAAGTATTCCTTTGTGAAAGATACTGAAACTCATTACAGATGCACGTACAGAGATGTGTTTACGGGGTCATGAAGTAAAATGTATTCCTTACTGTAGATATGGTTAATATTAGAGAAACACTTGCCTTAAAGAACCCCAACCAAGGCAGGGAAAGGGCCGTCAGGTGGCCAGATATTCTTAAACAGCTTGAAGACAACAAGAAGTAGGAGAAGAGTTCTCTAAGAAGGACCTCAGGGAATTAAATCAGAAGGTCAAGACTTGTAGGAGGAATTGTGCCAGACCTTTGTTAAAGTTTAAATGAAGAGGAGCCCTCATAGGAGAACTCCAAGCTGCCGGAATTCAATCTACGCAAATACTCCTAAGTAGATGACCCAGGAAGAGGTCAAGTCTTACTCTGTTCATCAGTGATAGAGGAAACACTCTGTGGCAATGTGGCCACAGAGCCAGCTCCTCGGCTGACACTCTAGTTCACACAATTACAGGACCTTCTGTGGCTCCTTTAGGATCTTATGAGAATGAGCCACATCTGAAGGAACACACCAATCAATCATTGTGATGTCTTTGGAAGAGAATGAGCTGGGCCCATGTCTTTTGTGTATTTCTTGTGGTACAGATAACCTGCCCCCCCACCACCACTAAAAAAATAAAATAAAATAAAATAAATAAAAATAGCTAGGTCTATATCTGGATAGAATTTGAAAATAAGCGAAGTCTTTTTGCCAATCTCCCCTTTAGTCTCCACCTTTCAACTCTGCTTCCTCCTGCTCCTGATTATATTCACTCTGAGTTCCTCCACAACTGTCATCCTGAGGCTATTCTATTCTTTCATCTAGGCATCTTGTAATTTTCAACTAAATGAATTGCTAATCCTCACTTAAATGATAAATTGCTAAAGACATAAGGTACTTTCTCTTCCCGGGATCTGTGTAGATTAACAAAGACCTAAATATGGAACGTTCGATACCTTAACAAGCAAGAGAAGAGTTTGTTGGGGTGGAGGCACCATCACCTTCCACATATGCCCACGCCATTCACTCATAAGCTGGGCTGCTCTTTAATGATTCATAGTTTGGCTCAAGATTGAATTTTGATCAGCACATACTTACTCCAAAGTCTATGCTTCATTTCTGCTCTCTAGAAATTCAAGCAGCTGCTTGCCTGGCGTGCTCATTCTTTAGAGATCCTTCAAGCAATCTACGTAGAAGACAAACAAATAGTGCTTACTGCCTCCGTCGATGGCTCAGTAAGGTATGGACCTTCGTACTGTGAATGCCGGGGTTTGAGTATGAGCGGAAAAGGGTATTAAGCTAAGGTTTAAGTACAGAGCCTAATGCAATCTTGATTAACTGACTAAAACAAATAAACGAACAAGTAAAGATGGCACAAAACGGCTACAGGAAGGTGGCCATTGATTTGGAATTCGTTTCCATGCCTACGGAAATGAGATGTCATGCTGCTCTACGTTAGAATGTATAATAAATACCTTCAACGGGTGTTTTTTATAGACTTATTTCGAAGAATTAAGCAAGATGAGTAGCTCAGAGAGGTGAGCCCAAGCCCAGGGAAGACGACAGAAAGAGACACGGGAACAGAAGTCATAAAAAAGTCATAGAAAAGGAAAACTAATATTGAGAAAAGCGAGAGGGAGTTCGTAGCTTCAGGGACAAGGCGATTGATTTTGCAAAGCCTGATTTTTACTCTCATGGCTGCCTCGCCTGCTTCGGCAGTGTTAGCATAGGTCTGCAAAGGGAGCAGCTGACATGACCTACACTGCAGCTGTGGTCAGTTACATTCTTTAGAGAGCCTCCCTGCAGGGTTAGCTTTCTTTGTTTTATTAAGGTATAATGTACATATTACATTAGTTATAGGTGTCCAACGTAATGCTTCGATATTTGTTTATATTGTGAAGTGATCTCCACAGTAAGTCTAGTTAACATCAAGTCTACTTAGCATCCATCACCACACAGTTATAAAAGTTTTTCTCATGATGAGGACTTTGAAGATTTATTCTCTTAGTGACTTTCAAATATGCAATATAGCATGATTAACTATAGTCCGTAACATACAAAGCCTACTTGTTTTTCAGTTACATAATGCTAAATATACGTGCGCAAAATGTTAAAAACACAAATATATAATGTTAACCAATATTACCTCAATTAAAAACTAATTAATTTTTTTAAAAGAATGTAACAAAAATCCATGGGCAGTGGATTGCAGAGCAGCAGGAGTGGGCGTGAGGAGACCAGTGGGATGTCCGTGGGGGTATGTTGGCTGGAGCTGGGGGGCAGGCAGCAGTGCCGGAGATAAGTATTTGGGATCTGAGAACTAGAATGCAAAACCCACCTGTGAACTTTCACTGAACGCGAAGGTAAGCGGTAGGCGTCACGAACTGCTGGTGTATGTAACTAGGGGAACATTCATTGAGAGAGGAGTCACTGAAAGAGGGAAAGATTTATAACGTGAAAGGATGAAGGAAAACTTTTAGAAATGTTGAGTTCAAGGTGGGGGTAAGGTCCTATTTGGGGACAAACAGAGCTGCTTCTTCTGTCAGAAGGGGGACCTGCTGTTTTATTCGTAGGAAAAATTAAGAACATGATATTACATTATTATAGATGCTTTTTACAACTCTGTCCCTCCAGTCTCTGCGCTAGCTGATCTCCAGCTACCTGTCATCAGACGTGTCACTGGGGATTGTAATACACACATACACACACACATCACATGTGTGCACACCTCTGTTGTTACAAACAGTTCCTTGCTCAAACCAGCCAGCCTTGACATGAAGAAATTACTTCTATGGTTCCTTCAAGCATACTTCCTAGACACTCAGTTTTAAAAACCTAGCTCTATTAATAGCTATCTCAGAATACATTTCTCTTCATAACTAAACCCCATCCTTTTGCTAACACTAGCTGCCACTTTCTAAAGGAGTGAGTAGTTTTAACACTCTAAACCTATTTGTGAAAAAGATGATAACTTTATAATAGGAAAAAGCATAATAAAGGCTTGCCTCTGGGACACAAGATAGAAGGGGCTGAGGATTCATATCTGAGGCCCAGGACATCAGGCTGAGTGGCAAGATGTCCTCTGGGAGAAATGGAACAGAAACTTCCCCAAAGCAAGGAGACCAAAGGTTACTTCAGTCCTTGCCTATGTAGAATGAATTTAGAGTTGTCCTAAATCAGTCCCTCATCCCTCTAACTTCTATGTTGGACGGGCTGGTCCATTTCACTTTGGTAATGGGTCTGGCGGGGCCATGACATTTATGTAGTGTTGGGGAATGCAAGTATGTCAGGGATGTAGGCTGGTCATGTTCCTTGTCAGAACACTCGGTGTGGGGGGTCCTGACTGGATACCTCTGCTCTGCTTCTTCTTCAATGCTTTCTGCTTGAATCTGGGGTACCGCTTGGACTTTGTGGAACCTACCCTTAGTTCATTAGTTTATCCTTCTCCTGGGTCATTGCTGTGGGCACATGGTGATTGTTTCTATCATTTGCTGCTCTGAGGTTGAAATCAAGACATAAAAGGAAGATCTTCCAAGTACTATTTTATCTTTCCTTAAGACACGGGCCACCTGCTCCTGCTAATGACTTTTTTCAACCTTTTCATCTCATGGTATACATAAACTAATTACTAAAATTCTGCTGCAAAAATATAGGTATAATTTTTGACCAAAGAAATAGGTATAATTTTGATTCATTTATACTGTATGGTTATTGTTGTATTGGCTATTGTCATTTTTTTTTAAATTGACAATCTAAGGTAAAAGAAGTTGGTGCCCCTAACTAGTCAGGTACTGCATGTTTTAAAAATTCGTGCAGCACACTGGTTGAAAATTGCTGCTTTAAACCATGTGCACTATTGAGGGGGACTTTTTGGAGTGAATTGATGGTGAAATGATGCATCTGGATGAAGAGCCACTTCTTTTGCTGTATTTCAGACCCCATTGTAAAAATTAGTATGGTGTTTGCACAAGAGTTGGAATTGTAGATGGAAGTGGAGAGGATTTGGGTAATAGAAAAAGCATCAGTAGGTACCTCCTCCTACAAGTTCTATTGTTGCTGGCACAGAAGGTAGACAGCTGAGATACAGCCCAATCTAAGACCTGTTGGACTAATACCCTGTCAGTCAATATGAATTCTGATTAACTTAAATGAACAGCGTTATTTAGGGAAAAATCTGTTTCTTATTTTCTGACTTTAATGACTGGATGTCATAAGTACAGATTCAAATTGACATTTCCCAAAATTGTTGTAGATTATAATTCTACCTGATTAAAAAAAAAAAAAAAAAAGTTGATGCTATAGTTAGCTTCATATATTTAATAGGAAGAATTCTGGACTCAAGTCTAAAATTCTTCATGGACCAATGAAAATCTGACCATTCAGAGAATAACTTCCGCTGAATTCTAGTTACTTCACCCTCCTGCCTTTTCCCGTTCCTCAGGGTCTGGCATGCCCTCAATGGCCATTACTGTGGATATTTTGGACAGCGAAGGCCCTTTGACATATCACAGACAAGTGATTTCATTTTGCCTTGTGATGTTAATGAGTATCCCATAGAAATAAAAGAAGAAAGCAAGTTCACAGAGAACAAGCAAAAATATGAATATCCTCTGGTATTTGACCGGCAAAGGTAAGCCCATTGGGTTTTCTTTAGAGAACAGACAAGAATTAAACTATTATGATACGGTAACACTGTGTTGGACACGGAGAATTCAAAGATGAAGAACTCAAAACTTTTCAATAATTTTGAATCCAGCGGAAGGGTGGACAAAAATCTATAATTCAGTATAATAGTACTGCTAAGAATATCAATTCTTAAGATAATCACAGAGGGGCAAACAGGATTTGTCCAAATAAAGACCAAAGAGGCCATTGCCTAAGCAAAGGCACAAAATAATGAAAGATTATTACATAGTCTTTCAAGGTTTGGATCCAGGGAGCAAGTAGGGAAGACATGGTACAAAGTTAAGCAAGGAAATTCTACAGAGATGAGCTTTTTCTTATGGACCAACATAAAGATTTTCAACTTGGCCCTGGCCAGTTTGGCTCAGCGGTTGAGCGTCAGCCTGTGGACCAGAGAGTCCCGGGTTCGGTTCCTGCTAGGGGCACATACCACACACACACACACAAAAAAGATTTTCAACTTGCCTGAAATCACTGAGACAGGATACACACAAGAGGAAAAGCAGATCTGAAGAAAAAGATAGTGTAGATGATTGCCTAACCACCAAGCTGTACACCGGAATCCAACATAAAATAAAATTGAAAGAAAAAGACAGTGAGTTTGGTTTTGGACAGGTTGAAGTCTGAGTTGCTCGTTAGGGATATTTATTCTCTTTTAAATGTTTTCAATGCTTAGTTATGGCTTTTTACATATATGTATAAATACGTTTTCACTATGTGGAAGCTTCCCCAAGTCACCCAAATATCAAACGCTGGTTTTGTACCCCGGGTTTCCTCATCCCTACTGTACAGTATGTATTTTTTCCAATGGCTATTATTTTTTTTGTTTGTTTGTTTATCCTCACCCGAGGATATTTTTCCATTTTTTGTACAGATAGAGTGGGAGGGAGAGAGAGGAAGAGAGAGAGAGAGAAACATTGATGTGAAGGGACACATCGAGTGGCTGCCACCCGCACGACCAACCAGGGCCGGGGACAAACTGCAACCGAAGTACATGCCCTTAGCGGGAACTGAACCCGGGTCTCTCTGGACAGCAGGCCGATGCTCTAACCGCTGAGCCAAACCGGCCAGGGCCCAATGGCTATTATTAATGAATTTAACTACATGGAATGTTCAGGTCTAGTAGAAATCTCTTTAGTTCACATGGAGGGGAATCTGGAAAGCCAAATGGAATAAGACTTAAGTGCAAGGGGCATCATTAGGGTTGGTGCCATGAGAGCTGAAGAAACTGGGACCCAGAGGGGAAAAAGGGGAATGGGAACGTATTTAACAGCTGTTCTTGTATCTTCATTTGCAGATGGAGAAAAATGAGCTCAATGTCTTTGCTTTTCAAACGTACACCCCCCAAGCCCTTTAAAGTGGAACATGATTTTAAATTTTTCAAGTCTCTTTTTTCTCCCAAGGTAACTTAACAAAAAAACCACTTTACTTTTGTTTTCCTGAATTTAGATATGGACAGAGTACTAGTTTGCTATTGCGGTTGTTACAAATTACTACAAACTAAGTGTTAAAATAACACAAAAGTCTGACCTGGGTCCTACTGGGCTCAAATTAAGGTGCCACCAGTGCTGGGTTCCTTTACTGGAGGCCGTAGGGGACATCTCTTATCTCGTGGTTTGTGGCCCCCTGTCTTCATCTTCAAAGCTAGAAATGTCACATCTCTCTGACCAGTCTTCCATGGTCACATGACTCTGACATAAGAGGATAGTTTCTCTGCTTTTATGGAATCCTATGATGAGATTGGGCCCGCCTAGCTAATCAGCCTTCAACTTCTTAACCTTAATCACATCTGCAAAGTCGATTTTGCCAAGTGAAGCAATATATTCACAAGTCGGGGTTGAGGGGAGTAGGGTGCACACATCTTTGGTTGCCCTTATTCTTCTTACCACAGACAGACACAATTTTCTTCAGTGCAGAATTAGGAGAATGTATTGCTACTGAGTCTATTTCTAACCCTGCTAAAGAATGGATATAGCATGCATCTTTAGGCTAAAGTCTGCAATTAATTAATTAAAATTGATTTTTTTCAAGATCTCCCATAAAATCAACCAAGGCTACCCTTCTCAATTTACCTCCCATGGCTAACCTAAGCTGCCCACCCTCTACACAGCAGAACAGTCTCCCTGAGCTTGCCTCTCTGTCTTCCACCCTGCAGTTCACCTGGGCTGTCCCTGCCATATCCACGACCTCTGTCTGTCAAAGTCCACCCTTCCTTTCTAACTACCTTTGTAGTTGACAAAGGATCGGTATCCGGAACTCCTCAAAATGAATAAGAAGGAAAGACAGGCCAATTTTTTAAAGGTCAGATACTTAAATAGATACTTCCCAAAAGAAAAAAATCTAATGAACACGTGAAACGATGCTCAACCTCATTAGTAGCTGTGGAAATTCACATCAATAATATTATGAAATACCATTTTACAGCCACCAGATGTTGAAGTCTGACAACATCAAGGCAGACTGGCAGAATCAGAACACTAATCTGCTGGTGGTAGAACCACCTTGGAAAACAACACAGCATTATCCCGTACATTTGAAAGTAGGCATACCGTGATGAAAATAAACCCTGGGGAAACTTGACCATGTGCTTAGGAGGCAAATAGAATGCTCAGACAAGCATTGTTTGTAGTAGCAAAACCCTAAAAGCAGCCTAAATGCTTGTCAACAGTATAACTGGTAAATAAATTATAGTGTGTTTATAAATTGGAATACTATGTAGCAGTCAAAATAAATGAACGAGAATAACACTCACCTCCATGAATGAATACTTGAAACCTACTACTGAATGAGAAGAGCTTTATATAAGAATGTAGACATAATGATTTCATTTACATAAAATTCAAGAAGAGGAAAAACTAATAAAATACTGTTTTGGACAAAAAGCATGTAAGACAAAACTATATAAAGCAAAGCAAGAGAAATGAAAGCGCAAAATTCAGGCCAGTCATGACACCGAGGGCCGGTGAAAAGAAATGAGGCCCGAGGATGGCTCACGGAGGACCTCGAAGGTGAAGGTATTATTCCAATTTGCACAGAGCAGCAGATCCAGAGATGTTCATTATGTAATCATTCTTTTACAGTATTAACTCCATATTTAATAAATATTTAACACTTTCCAAATGAGGCCATTTGGAAACCTTTCTGTCTGAATGGAATTCAGATCGTTTCTCCCAGAAGGGTGACAGTCAGGAGACACACTAAATGTGGAATGTACCAGAATTGGGTTTCATCTGAGATAAGTTATTTTATCTCTTTACACATATTAAAGGCTCTCAAAGAATCGCTGTGTGAAGTAAATGAGAGAATGTATACCAGATACATTGTAGATACTCAGTAAATGTTAATTCCTCTTTTGCCAAAGACCCCAATCTCTCTGGGCTTCATGTCTCAAGCATGTTAATTACCATGGTCCACATTGAATTAGAATTATTTATATACTGACCTTTACATCCACCCCCCACTACTAAATCACAAGCTCTTGATGGGCAAAGATACATGCCCATGTATGTATGCATGTAACAGATACTGAAGTTTGTTGAATAGGATTGAAATAGTACAACCCCAAAATAAAGATCGGTATTCAGTTTTAATATTCTCTTTCAATTTGAATAATAAAAAATGTTTTTTTTAAAGTAATTTAACTGAGCATTCCAAAATGGCAGCAGAGTGAACGGAAGCTACACAGACCATCTCTCAGAACCAAACTGGAATTACAACTATAACACAGACAAATCGACAGGAAAAAGCAACAGAAAAGCAGCTTACAAGGACCATATAACCAGGGACACTGACTTGATCCTAGTAGGATTGCGAAGGCGGGAGATGGGCTGGGAGCCCACAGACAGCAGCCGCCTTAGCTGGGAGCAGCGCCCTCGGGTTACACTCCCAAGTGGCTCCACAGCGCAGAGCTGGGACAGAGGCTAAAAAAGCCACAGCCCCTCACCTTGGGCTGCGGCAGAGGGAGAGCAGACTGGACTGGAACTATGTGGGGACACTCGGATTTGGAGGGCGCTCAGAGCTTTTGCTGAGTTGCTGCCACGCAGGACGGTGGCCATCTTGCTCCTTCCCAGGACTCAGGTTATATTACAAAGCCACTGTAATCAAAACAGCCTGGTACTGGCACAAGAACAGGCATATAGACCAGTGGAACAGAACTGAGAACCCAGAAATGGACCCAAGTCAATATGCTCAATTAATATTTGACAAAGGAGGCAAGAGCATACAGTGGAGTAAAGACAGCCTCTTTAGTAAATGGTGTTGGAAAAATTGGACAGCTACATGCAAAAAAAATGAAACTAGACCATCTACTTACACCATACACAAACATAAACTCAAAATGGATAAAAGACTTAAATGTGACCCGTGAATCCATAAAAATTCTAGAAGAAAATGTAGGCATCAAAATTTTGGACATCATACGCGGCAGAATTTTCACTGATACATCACCTAAGGCAACAGAAACAGGAGAAAATGAACACATGGGACTACATCAAACTAAAAAGCTTCTGCGCAGCAAAAGAAACAATCATCAAAATGGAAAAGCAACCCACTGTATGGGAGAACATCATTGCCAATGATACATCAGATAAGGGGTTAATTTCCAAAATATATAGAGTACTCATACAACTCAACAAAAGGAAGACAAAGAACCCAATTAAAAAATGGGCAGAGGAGCTGAATAGACACCTCTCCAAACAGGACATACAAATGGCCAAGAGACATATGAAGAAATGCTCAACATCACTAATCATCAGAGAGATGCAAATTAAAACAACAATGAGGTATCACCTCACACCTCTCAGAATGGCCGCCATCAACAAATCATCAAACAACAAGTGTTGGCGAGGGTGTGGAGAAAAGGGGACTCTAGTGCACTGCTGGTGGGAATGCAGACTGGTGCAGCCACTATGGAAAACACTATGGTGTTACCTCAAAAAATTAAAAATTGAACTTCCATTTAACCCAGTGATCCTGCTTCTAGGAATATACCCTAAGAAGCCTGAAACACCAATCAGGAAGAATATATGTACCCCCATGTTCATAGCAGCACTATTTATAATAGCTAAGATCTGGAAACAACCCAAGTGTCCATCAGTAGACAAATGGATCAAAAAGCAGTGGTACATATACACAATGGAGTACTATGCAGCGGTAAGAAAGAAAGATCTCTTATCCTTTGAGACAACATGGAGGGACCTGGAAAGTATTATCCTAAGTGAAATAAGCCAAGCAATAAAAGACAAATACCACATGATCTCACTTATTTGAGGAATATAATGAACATAACAATCTGAGGAATATGGTAGACCAAGAAACATGGAAGTAGGGCACCGACTTATATCCCTCAGAAGACAGGGTGGGGGGGTAGGAAGAGATAAACCACAGAACTTATATGCATGTATGCATAACCAATGGACATGGACAACAAAGCCGGGTACAGGGCAGGAGTTATGGGGAGGGGGGTTCCAATGGGGTAAAAAAGGAGAAACATCTGTACAAAAAAAAAATTAAAAATTAAAATAAATAAATAAAGTAATTTAACTGAGCCCAGCCAGTGTTGCTCAGTGGTCGAGCATCGACACATGCACCAAGAAGTCACCAGTTCGATTCCCAGTCAGGGCACATGCCCAGGTTGTGGGCCAAATCCCTAGTGGGGGACGTGCAGGAGGCGGCCAGTCGATGTTCTTTCTCATTGATGCTTCTATCTCTTTCTTCCTCTCCCTTCCTCTCTCTCTAAAATCAATAAAGAAAAAAAAAAAGTAATTTAACTGAAACAGATAAATGTGGAGAAAGGTTTTAAAACAGTTAAATGCCCCAAATATTTCAAGGCTTGCTCTCTTCTTACCATACGTTCATCTTCTCACTTGCTTGGCAGAATAACAAAAGTTTAATATTAATATTGAGTTAAAATACCTTTTATTTAGGAATCTCTGACTTTTACCAGCAATCTTGTTTGCCCATTCCTTTTCATTATTAATTGTGTATTATTTCTCTATTTATTTATTTTCTGCTAATTTCTTCTTGACATATCATCAGTAATACAATGATAATGTAACTCTTACATTTGAATAGCACCTTACTATATACACAACCTCATTTGATGCTGAAAAATATTAAACAGGGCAAAAACTTGCCTAAGGTCAATGCAGGTATGGTAAGGTAACGCAGCTAATAAGTGACAGTCAGAGTTTGAACCCAGGAATTTTGCCACTTATGGAATGTGTCCTCTTCATTAAACATTCATTCCTCTGTTTCGCAGATTCAAAAGCATGCCATAGAAGGTTTCATGGCTGAAAACAGAGAGGCGGGGGTTGTTTTCGGTTCTCTGCCCATATATAGGGTGAGTTGACCATTTCTAGTGCTGGAGTGGTTACAGAACCATAGGAATCTGCCCTCTCGTTCCTGACCCTGGGCTAGCAAGCCAGGTTGGAGAAAATCGTGTCACCAGGCTGACTTTGCGTCCATGAACATGCTGTATCTGATCACAGGGGAGTCTTCAGTTTGGTGTGTCAGCGGTCTTGCTCCCTTGTCTCTGGCATTCCACGTTGAACACTGCAGGAAACTTAAGCTTCACACTAGCTCTTCATTACCTACAGGATAAAATCCAAATGCTTTCAGCCTGTCATACAAACCTTACATGATCTGGCCCCTGCCTGAACTGTATGACCTCGCTTCTTCCACATTGTCCCATGTCTCTTGCACTACAGCTATGCTAAATCGCTTGCTATTCCTTAAGCATCACTATTTGTCCCTCTTCTGTGACTTTGCCTGGGTACCCCTCTGCCCAGAATTCATCACCCCTTGTTTTTCTCCAAATCCTCACTCATCTTGCAAGTCTCCATTTCAGATAACCTTTGTTAAATGAAATAATTGATTCATTAACCAAGAATAGTACACTGAAGGTAGAATATTTCAATTTAATCTTAACTTATTTCTTAAAATGTTACTTCTCCTTGCCAAAAACACCTTAACTGTAATAGGTTTCAAACTCTTAAGCTACAGATGAGGCTGAGGGTGAACTATTAAGAATTAATAGTGGGCACCTATGAAGGAGGGTGTATTTTAGAGCAGTTGGAATTTTTCAACCCCTTTCCCCAACCCCGGAATTCACATAACGGAAGTAATCACTTCTGTATGTCTTACTCTATATTTGTGGCTTCCAGGTCCCAAGCCCCACGAGTCTACAATTCCTGCCACTCATTGGGTCAGAGGTTCTGAGGGAGCCCGATGGCATTCCAGGAAAGAAGAAGGGAAGTCATGTTCAACATGAAAAAGTAAGTCAGAAATGGTATATCCCATTTCTGTTTGGATTGTTACTGTCTGCACCAAAGCGAATAACACGTAACAAACACAACTACAATGACAAAATAAGCTGCTTTAATTAATACAGAAAACTTGACCATAATTTTGTTAGTTTATGCCCTTAATGAGAATATGCATGGTTCTTGTTATCATCAGTTCTAGCAATTATTTGAATAAGAATTTTTGGCAAAGTTTTTTTTTATAAAAATAGAATCGTTTACTTTCAATTTGTTAAGTAATGGATAAAACAGTACATAAATAATCCAACACTGATAGGTAATCAATAGAATATTTGTTGGGGTTTTATAATTCATATATTTTATGTCCCATATTTGCATTGTTTTGCCTCATCTGGTGTTAAATGTACTTTACATTTTCTAAGTACTGTTAAAAAGACACCAGACCCAAAATGAAGTCACTTGTGCTAAGCCCCACCAAAACTTAATACCTAATCTAATTGCAGTTTCAGACTCTCCCAGGTCTGGAATTTTTAACTGATCAGTCTGGAATTTCCTGACCAACACTAATGAGAGGTCATTGGTCTGATAACACCCCCTGAAATTCCCCACCATCCTTCTTCCTGTAAAACCCTCCATTTTTATCAGAGCACTCTACTGTTTACTAGATGGGATGATGCCTAATTTATGAATCTTTTTTTTTTTAACCTTTATTGTTGAATGTATTACAGATGTTCCTCATTTTCCCCCCATTGACCTCCTCCTCCCCACTCACGCCCCTCTTCCCGCCTTTGCCCACACTGTTGTCTCTGTCCATTGATTATGCATATAAGTTCTTTGGTTTATTTCTTCCCACCCCCCAACCCCTTTCCCTTTGAGGTTTGTCAGTCTAGCAATGAATTTGTACTTCTTAATCCCTTCACCTTTTTCACCCATTCCCCCAACCCCTCTCCCAACTGGCAACCAACAAAATGTTCTCTGTATCTATGAGAATGTTTCTGTTCTGCCTGTTCATTTTGTTTGTAGATTCCATTGTCGATAGATATGTATTCATTGCCATTTTGTTTGTTCATATTTTTTTTATCTTTTTCTTCAAGAAGACCCTTCAACATTTCATATAATAATGGTTTGGGCCCTGGCCGGTTTGGCTCAGCGGTTAGAGCGTCGGCCTGCGGTCCAGAGAGACCCGGGTTCGGTTCCCGCTAAGGGCATGTACCTCGGTTGCAGTTTGTCCCCGGCCCTGGTTGTCGTGCTGGTGCAGCCACTCGATGTGTCCCCTTCACATCGATGTGTTCTCTCTCGCTCTCTCCTCTCTCTCCTGCCCTCTCTATCGAACAAAATGGAAGGGTCCTCGTGTGAGGATAAAAAAAAATAATATAATGGTTTGTGGTGGTGATGAATTCCTTTACTTTCTTGTCTGAAACTCTATAGGCCATCGATGCTAAAGCCAGCTTTGCAGGATAGAGTCATCTTGGTTGTAGGTTCTGCTTTCATCAATCTGAGATTTTGACACTTCCCTTCTGGCCTGCAAAGTTTCTTTTGAGAAATCAGCTGACAGCCTTATGGGAACTCCCTTGTAGGTAACTAACTGCTTTTCTCTTGCTGCGTTTAAGATTCTCTCTTTGTCTTGAACCTTTTGCATTTTGATGATGATGTGTCTTGGTGTGGGCCTCTTGGGGTTCATCTTGTGTGGGACTCTCTGTGCTTCCTGGACTTGTATGTCTGTTTCCTTCACCAAGTTAGGAAAGTTTTCTGCCATTATTGTTTCAAACAGGTTTTCAATTTCTTGTTCTCTCTCTTCTCCTTCTGGTACTCCCAAGATGCAAATGTTGGCACGCTTGAAGTTGTCCCAGAGGCTCCTTACACTATCCTCATTTTTTTGGATTCTTTTTTCCTTTTGCTGTTCTGATTGGGCGTTTTTTTGCTCCTTATATTCCAAATCAATGGTTTGCTTCTTGGATTTACGTACTCTACTATTGAATCTGTGTAAATTATTCTTTATTTCAGTTAATGCCTCCTTCATTTCTGACTGTGCATCCATCATTTCTGACTGGTCCTTTTTAATGCTCTTGAGGCCCTCACTGAGTTCATTGAGCATCCTTATAAGCAGTATTTTGAACTCAGCATCTGTTAGGTTGCTTATGTCCATTTCGCTTAGTTCTTTTCTTGGGGTTTTGTTCTGTTTTTTCATTTGAGACCTGTTTCTTTGTCTCCCCATTTTGGCTGCCTCCCTGTGTTTGTTTCTATATATTACTTAACGAGCGGTATGGGGCTAACTGAGACCAGATGTTGCTTGTTTGAAACAATTTAGGAAAACCTGAAGCAGGATCCAAGACAGGCCAATCCTATGGTTAAGCAAGTGGCAACAGCTTGGGTGGGCCTGAAAGTTGGGTGGGCGGGGCTTCAGGGAGTCACCAGGGCGGGGCTACCAGTGTGAGCCAGGTTGCTGGAGTCCCAGATATGGCGGCTGTCGCCGCCCCCGGGAAGGGCTCACCAAAGGAACAAAGGCCTCTGACAGCACGTTTGTCCCGGAGAAAGCTCCCTCTCCAGCCCTCCCTACAGTGCCAAACAGCTCAGTTCTTCCCTGTATGTCTCTGGCGCCCCTCGAGCTGCCTCCCCTCCAAGTTTAGAGGGACAGAGTCCGATAAGTCCGTGCGCGGGCCCTTTAAGGAGCTGCCTGGGGCTCCAGCCGCCTCAGCCTCCCTGAGCCTCAGTTCCCGCTGGTTTTTCCAGCCAGAAGTGATGGGGATTCTCTTCCTGGCACTGGAACCCTGAGTGAGGTGTCTGGTGTGGGAGGGGGACCCCTCAGCCGAGGTGTCCTCCTGATTTTATCCACCACACATGGGTGTGGGACCAGCCCCTCAGCCTTCGCCCTCCTACCAGTCTCCATGTGGCGGCTGCTTTAATCCCATAGTCATAGGACTTCCATTCAGCTTGATTTCAGGCGGTTTTGAATGATGGTTGTTCTGTAGTTTAGTTGTAACTTTGATGTGGTTGTGGGAGGACCCGATACCATGTTTGCCTACCCGCCGTCTTGACCGGAAGTCTCATGAATCATTTAATAAAGCCACTTCAATCTCCAAATGTACATAGTTAATTTTATTTATTTATTTAACAGTAAAAACTAAGGGACAGAAAAAAAGTAGTCAAATATATCTTAAACACCAGGGGAAAGACAAAAATGAAATTAAAAATTAGTCATGGTTAATCTACATAATGAGTAATGTTCACTCAGTCAAAAATTGACTCTATTATGATTAATTTTATCAGAGATCATGAAAGATGATAAATTATTTGTCCAGACACTAAAGAATGTTGAATGCATCTGTTATTTTAATAGGTACTTTCTTTTCTCTTAATCACTCTGATAGATAATTAAAAAGCCAACAGTGATCGTCTCTCATTTACTTAGAGAAAAGGAACCCCAAAATCCTGATTAAAATTTCATTTCTCTTTCTGGTTTAATGAAGAAAAGAGTTAAGTGTAGCCAGAGGACTAAACTTTGTTTTCAAAGTGAAATCATGTCCTTTTCAGAAAAGTGTGCACTTAGCAAGTGGAAAATGAAATCTGGAAACCGGTGCAGATTAAAGTGTCATTTGCTGATTATCATTTTAGAAACTCAAACAGCTATAAGTTAAAAAATAGCAGATGAAATCAAATCAATAAATACACATCAATAGAGCTAGGACTTTGCTTTCAGAGCCTGGACACTTAAATACAGTGCAGTGTAAGTCCGAGGTAGGTAAGCTCCTGGTCACATCAGGTTACAAATAATGAATGTTGAAGAACCTTTCCTTCCCATCAGGCTCTATCACCTCACACTAGTTTATTTATCTTTTTTAAAAAACATGTTTTTATTGATTTTTTTAAAGAGCAAGGAAGGGAGAGAGAAATAGAAACATTGACATGCAAGAGAAGCCAATCCGCTGCCCACTGCACGCCCCCCACTGGGGATCGAGCCCAAGACCCAGGCATGTGCCCTGACCAGTAATCGAACTGGGACTTCTCAGTCCATGGGATGACACTCAGTCCACTGAGCCACACCAGCCAGGCTAGTTTATTTTTCATTATAGCTCCTGTTACTACCTGAGGTTACATTGTATAAGAATTTATTTTTATTGATTCTATCCCACCACCTCAGCTCCATGAAGGCAGGAACTTGGACTAATTCTCTACTAGAACTTCAGTGTTGAGAACAGACGGACGCATAAGTGATGCTCAGAGGACATTTGCTGGATGAAAGAATGTGTTAGAAGAAGGAGGAGGAGAAAGAAAAGGAGAATAGAAAATTAAAAAGAAAGATCAATGAAGCTTAGGAAGTTGCCTCAGCTGTTTAGCAGATTGGTCTGGGGAACTAAGCGTCCTACCTTATCTTAGGGAGAAAGTAACAGTCGCATGACCTGTGGGTGTCCAACCCTAGGGTATCTTTAGGTAGTTACATTTTGACCTTGGGGCTCACTCTGTCTTTTTCTTTACCTTAGAACACTCTACGTCTGCCCTTCCCCTTATCTTCTTTCTCTCCTTTCCCATACTAGACCGCAAAGTCACATTGATGTGTACTATAAATATTGGCTGAATGCTATTGATAATATCACACGCTTCTTGATCTGAATTTTTTAAACCAAATGAGTTTAACATTTACATGTATGTCTTCCAAAAATATCCCATCGCAACTAACTTTCATTTCTCATTTGCGGGATCATCACTTGATTTTATTTTCCTATAAGTCACTGGACTCTGATGATATTATTATACAATATGTCTATGCCTTACAACAACCTAGCAACCTTCTTTGTTTTGTTTTGTTTTTTGTTTTAACCAATTCGTTACAGTTTGGACAATTGAGTGACAGAATGAATAACTGCCCAGTCAAGTATTTCTAAAGCTTCTGCTCTTCCATCCATACCCTTCTGGAGTACCACCCCCTGTTTTTAACATATTTTACCCTAAAAGCACACAGGACAGTTAAGTCAATAAATACACTTTAGCCCTGGCTGGTTTGGCTCAGCGGTTAGAGCGTCGGCCTGCGGTCCAGAGAGACCCGGGTTCGGTTCCCGCTAAGGGCATGTACCTCGGTTGCAGTTTGTCCCCGGCCCTGGTTGGTTGTGCGGGTGGCAGCCACTCGATGTGTCCCTTTCACATCGATGTTTCTCTCTCTCTCTCTTCCTCTCTCTCCCTCCCACTCTGTCTGTACAAAAAATGGAAAAATGTCCTCGGGTGAGGATTAAAAAAATAATAATAATAAAAAAAATAAATAAATAAATACACTTTATTTCTAGGAGGATTAAAAGCTCTGAAAAAATTAGCAATGCCACTTGACTCTAGAAAAGTGTTTGTCATGTCAGACCAGTTATTAACTGACGTGTCCTTTGTTTTACAGGGACAGCGGAGGAGAAGTCTGAAAAGGAATTTCGTCCCACAAATAAATCTGTCTTCTTTCTTCTTCCCAACCATCTCCAAATAAGATAGAAAAATCAGAGCTGGCCGCCTTGGTCTGGGCTGCACGTGAGACAGCAAGGTCTGAATGGTATGCCAGTCTTTATTTCAGGATGAAAGCGAGGGCCAGCTCATCAACAGAGAAGATCGTTCTTGGAGCTCAGGTGACCTCACTTCTGAATCCCAAGCAAGAGCCAACTTCTTTCATACATTGAAATCTACGTAAGGCATAGGCAGTGTTTCTTGTTCACTGTCAGCAAAATGACAAAGGGAACGAAGAAGATTAAGCAGATCTAAAATAATAGGATCATAATAATTAGCTTTCCACCTCCTTCATTGTTCACCTGATTCATAATCAGAATTACTATCACAATGTATGCATTAAGAGACATATTATTTGTGTGTCATGCTATCTGGTAAGCAGGAGAATTATTATTAAAAAGAAAAAGGTACCCGTCAACCTTCTAGCTGTTTGTCTGTTTGTCTTTTTTATTCAGGGAAATGTCATCTGGGAGAAAATATTCAGAGTTTCTTAGATACTAAGTCAGAAGTTATTTACATTTAGTCCAGATGACTCCAGATAAATAGAACTTGAATAATTATCTAACCTTCTTAAGGTTTATCACTTATTAATTCTTTTATTAATTGCTTCTGTTATTTGGAGCGAAGGATTAATTTCACCAATGGGAACTCATGAAAAAAGTAAAAGTGTCTAAATTTGATCAATAATAAATGCGATGTTAAATAAATCAAAGGCATGAGGAAAGGATCGGAATTGAAGCCTGCTGATTGGCCGACCGCGGCCTCTCTGGGAAATGATGCACAGTCTGAGTGACGAAAGTGGTCCCATGTCAACGGTGGTCTGCTTCCCCGAAACACTGTGCCGTTTGGTGAAAAGCAAACAAAAAAACTGTGGGCCCTGCATTTAACTCTGCCTATCCATTCTGGGAAGAGTTCTAAAGTTCCTAAAATTCCAACAATCTTAGAAAAATAAAGATATTTTTTAATTCATGTAAATTTCACACACTTTTTAAAAATGTTTGTTTCTAGGCATGTGCTAATTTTTGTTGTAAATCACAAGGAATGTGATTTCCCCTGCTAACTGTCTTTTCCTTTTAACTTGCTTACTCGTGTATTTTAATTACACAAGAAGCTAAAATTTCAGAAGAAAATATGGAAGAAAATTAAGGTTTTTAAAATATTTTTAAATAATTTGTATGATTTACTCAAATAAGAGACTTTAGAAAAAACAGAGTATAGTTATGGAAAATTAACACTTTTAACACCTAACTAAGCCAGAGATTCTTTTTTTTAACTGAGGCATAATTGACATATAACATTATATTCGTTTCAGGTATAAATCATAATGATTTGATATTAATATGTAATGTGAAAAGATCACCACAATAAGTCTAGTTAATATCCATCGCCATATAATTAAAAATATTTTTCTTGTGATGAGAACTTTTAAGATCTACTTTGTAAGCAACTTTCAAATATGCAACACAGAATTAACAACTGTAGTCACCATGCTGTGCGTTACATCCCATGACGTATTTATTTTATAAATGAAATGTGTACCTTTTAACCCCTTCATCTGTTTTGCCCCAGAAGATTCTTTTTCTTTTTAATTCTAAGTAAAAAAGAAAATTTCCAAGGAGTTTACGAAAATGATTCCATTTCCTACTTTTTAATCTCGGTTGTAAAGAAGGAAATTTAATCCCTAGGTGAGATTTCCTAAAACGAGACAATACTGAATACCCTCCCAAGCCCTCAGCCCCTTCAATGTGTCATTTGAGGTTTCTAAATGATTCTTCACCTCCCTTTGTGACTGAGCAAGTCTCTCAAACCTCCTTTAATAGAAATCGACAACTTCTTGATATATTAGGATGTTAAAAAAAAAAAAATCATTTCTGTATTTTTGCACATTATGTAACAAGAGATTTTATATCAGTATACTGTTAAGAATGGCAGTATAACTAAATATGTAATTATAATTTTTAAGGATACACATAATATGTAGAAAATTTTGTCTTTTCCCTCATTTATCAAACGACAGGATGATTAAATGAATCATTTAAGAAAATGTTTGCTTAGTCCAGCAGGTATGGCTCAGTGGTTGAGTGTCGATCCATGCACCACGAGGTCGCTGGTTCGATTCCCGGTCGGAACACATGCCCAGGTTGTGGGCCTGATCCCCAGTGGGGGCATGCAGGAGGTGTCTTATCAATGTTCTCTCTCATCGATGTTTCTCTCTCTCTCCCTCTCCCTTCCTCTCTCTCTAAAACATCAATAAAGAAAAAAAAAAGAAAATGCTTGACTTGACAAACTAATTAAGAATAATTTGTTACCTTGTATTTGCTGTGGTGTTAAAATGTTTACTAAAATATATAGAGTAATGACTTCTGCTCCCGTAATAGTAGACTAGGTAACTGACCAATCACTCCCACCGAGGACCGCTAGAACACAGGGAAAAATGCAGAAAGCATCCCTATGAAGGCACCTGAGCACAAATAAGATGGTGAAGCATGAACCTCCAGATTCTGGGGAAGGACGGGGCTCAAGCAGGTGAACCTAATGTTTGTTTGTTTTTTTCTTAAAAAAGAGAACTCTCCAAACTCACTTTAGGAGTTTTTAAAATATGTTTTTATTGATTTTTTAGAGAGAGAGGAAAGGAGAGAGAGATAGAAACATTGATGTGAAAACGAAACACCCATCAGCTGCCTCCTGCACGCCCCCTACTGGGGATGGAGCCCGCAACCCGGGCTGTGCCCTGACTGGGAATCGAACCGGGACCTCTCAGTCCATGGGAGGATGCTCAATCCACTGAGCCACGCCAGCCAGGCGGTGAACCCAAGTTTTGAAGCCAATTTCCCTTCTGATACCAAAAGGGAAAATAGAGAAGCTAAGAAGCTGATGTGGTAATTAGAGCTAAGAAGATGGAATGGGATCCAGGCCTCATCAAGGGGTAAGCTCTTCTCACTTTGGGTCGAGGGTCCAAAGAACTGCATCCTAGAAATGTGGGTGATGCAGAGGTAGACAGATCTTCACTGGGGACTACAGTTCAGCTTTGAGCAATTTCAGTCCCTGAAATTGGACTGAGGCAATCCTCCATCACGAGGGCCCTTGGGAGCCTGCAGAACAAGGGTAAGTACTGTGGAGAAAGACGACATCATCTTAGGCCTTAAATTATGTGCTTCGTATTCCAAATACGTCTGACCCACTATTAAAAATGGCCAGGTTCATGAGGAGAAAGGCACCAAGAATTAGAACTGACACAAAAAAAGCAGGTGATGGAACCAAACAGCCAGGGGCTCCAGATCTTGGACTTAGCAAATACAGACTAAAACAACTCCTTGCCGTGAGCAGGGAGATAAAACACGCGATTTGGAATTTCAGCAGAGAACTAGAATTGTTGAATAAGAATCAAATGGAAATTTTAGAATAAAAAAACACAGTGTTCTCACCCTCTTGAAACCCTGAGACCATCAAGAATTCTGGCCTAGCTCTTTGGGGATGAGAACAGAGAGGGCCAGCCAACAGCCAGCATTAAACCCAAGCTGTGTGACAAAGGCCACCTGAGGCCAGCCGGCCCTCACCGCAGGGACACCAGGTAAAACCAGAAATGGGAGCCTGGCCCCAGCCCGAACTACTCACAAAATCATAAGCAAATACAATAATTGGAGTTTTGAGCCACTTGATTTTTTGTGTTTTTTTTAAATAATCTAGAGAGAATTTTCATCTTTCTAAAATTAAGTGTTCAAAACCATAAATATAAATACACCGTGGCATTTCTACAGAGATTCTTTCATTTTTCTCTAAAATGTTTTATTGATTTCTTCATTAGACTTCTTTTCCCTCCCTCATTTTATTATGGAAAAAATTTGAACATTCAGAAAATTTGAAAGATATCTACAATGATGACCTATATACATACCTATGACCTTGATTCTACAATTAACATATTATTTGATTTACTTTATCACATATCCACCTATTAGTCCATTAATCTATCTTCTTTTTTCTTTTCTTTTTTATCCTCACCCGAGGACATTTTTTGTATTTATCTTCAGATAGAGAAAGAGGAAGAAAGAGAAACATCGATGTGAGAGAGACACATCAAGTGGTTGCCACCCACATGACCCAAACCAGGGCCGGGGACAAACTGCAACTGAGGTACATGCTCTTAGCGGGAACCGAACCCAGGACTCTCCAGTCTGCAGGCCGATGCTCTAACCACTGAGCCAAACTGGCCAGGGCTTCATCTTATTTTTTTTATTTTCATTTCAAAGTAAGTTGAAGACATCAATCTTTAAATTAATTCCCTCAATCAAAATCTCCACATTTAAGACAATTAAAGTTGATGAACAAATTCAAAACTTTAAGGATATAAGAAGGGCCAGGAATAACCAGGATACTCTTGAACTCGCGTAAAAGGACATAGAATTGTTTCACTGTAGCCCTGGCCAATTTGGCTCAGCAGTTAGAGCGTTGGTCTGTGGTCTGAAGAGACCCGGGTTTGGTTCCCGCTAAGGGCACGTACCTCGGATGCAGTTTGTCCCTGGCCCTGGTTGGGTTGTGTGGGTGGCAGCCACTCCATGTGTTCCTTTCACGTCAATGTTTCTTTCTCTCTCTCTCCCTCCCACTCTATCTGAACAAAGAATGGAAAAATGTCCTCTAGTGAGAATTAAAAAAAAAAAAAAGAATTGTTTCACTGTAGACCAAGACTTACTGAAAAGCTGCAGGTGCTAAGACTGAGTGGCATCGGCACAGAATAGACCAGAGGATGGAATAGAGACGGAAAGCAACCCTCACACATCTGGACATTGCCTTTGGGCAGAGACAGCGCGTCAGCATGGTATAAGAAAGATGATCTTTCCAATAGATGATCCTGGGAGAGTTCGAGATCTACACTGAAAAAAATACATAACATGGCCTTTACCGCGCACTGCATAAAAATGAGTATCGTGTGATTGCAATTCTGAGAACAAAAGGCAAAATATAAGATAATTTTGGAATAAAAGAAAA